AACCTTCTTGCGGGCGCATCGTGTTGTCACAGAGTTTTTTGCACTCTTGACCGTCGAAAAGTGCGACGCCGCGTCTCTCCTCGCCGTTCTTCTGGCTCACTTGCGAGCAACTGGCATCGACCTCTCCCGAATCATCGGCATGAGCACCGACGGCGCCTCTGTCATGGTCGGCCGAGACAACGGTCTCGTCGCCCGACTTCGCGAGCACATCCCCCATCTCGTCTCTTCGCACTGCATCGCGCACAGGTTTAACCGCTTGTCATTTTAGTCGCTTAGCTTTCCTATAAGTGCTTGACTAAAATTCATTTGTGTGCACCATGTAGGGAAGCCTTGGCGGTGAAGGACGCCGCAACTGCTTCTCCAGACTTCGACATGGTCGACCTTGTGATTCGGACTCTGGCCGATCTTCTGGGACGTTCTTGTGTCTGGAGTCAACGCGTCAAGTACCTGCAGCGGGCAATACACAACACCAACCTTGAAGTGCAAGGAATTCACACCGTGCGCTGGCTTTCAAGGGGTGAGGCTGTGCGGCGCCTCTGTAAGGTCCTTGGCGCCGCTATCATTCTCTTTCATGAGTATGGGCATGAGCTGTATGAAGTCGTCATCTGTTACAAGTTCCAGTTCTGTCTTTTTTTCCTGGCGGACGTGCTCGGGGTGATGAATGAGCTCAACCTCAAATTTCAGAAGAGGGAGGTGAGCTTCTTCCACTGTGCATGTTGCACTTTTTGAACCACGCACGCACGTTTGGAATCACCCTCTCACTCCACTCCCTTGTCTGTCACTTCCACCAGGTCGATGTCACCGAAGTGACGAAGGACATCGATGAGGCGACAGGGGACCTCCGCCACCGCTACCTGGAGTGCGGATAGGTGTTCGGTGGGGGGGTCGAAGGCACGTGGCTTTCGGCTTTTTGGCGGTCTACGGGCGCGGAGGGAGCAAACGCGTATAGGTGCGGGGCATCGACAAAGATGGCAACCCAGTCACGCACACCTACACCATGCACGAGAAGCAGATCGACGGGCATGCCTTCCGCAGCAAGTACCCCGATTGCGAGCGGCTCTGCGCGCAGTTCGCGAAGGACACGATAAGCTTCCTGAAGACGAGGATGCTGGACCTGAACACTCTCGCCCCGACGAAGCTCTTCCGCGTGTCGAAGTGGCCCCGGACGAAGCAGCAGAGAGAGAAGAAGCTGAAGGAGTACCTACATGGCTGCAGTACCCTTTTCGACAACAGGCTGTCAGGGTTTTCCTTGCAAGCTGCGCAGAAGGAGCTGGTTACGTGGGCGCCATTGATGCTGAGCCACCATGCCGACGAGGGATTCCATCAAGGCCTGACGAACTACCTCGGCTCGACGGAGTCGACCTTGTGAGAGACTGCTGTTCGAAGGACGTCTGTTGCATGTTTTCTTGCCGGTTCTTAACTTCCCCTTGGAAGTTGTTGTTTATCGCTTGTTGACTAGTTGCACTAATGCAGTGGTCTTGTTCTTTCCCCAACCCTTTTGGCAGGCGATGGCCCCACATCATGCGCTTGTGGCAGGCGTGCGCTGTCCTGCCGCTTAGCACAGTGGAGTGTGAACGAGGCTTCTCGCGGCATAACGTCATCAAGTCATGGGTGCGGGGCTCGTTGTGCAATGCGCGCCTCAACGAGCTGATGGTCATTTCCCTGCTGTAGTATGAGATTGACTGGGACGAGGCCCTTGGGTGTTGGCGCGAGAAGCTGAGGCGCCCTGCTAAGTCTGTTCTGTTTGCCTCAGCGGAGAGGAAGCGCAAGGCCAAGGCGATTGAGGGGGCAGAAGAGAGGGTGGAGGAGGAGGCAGTCCCCGACTACATGGGGGATTGGGCAGAGGATGAGGGAGAGGAGGGGGTAGAGGGGGGAAAGGCTCCTCCTGAAGTGGAAGACAACCCGTTTCTGTCCGATGACGAGGCAGAGGACGAAGTGAACATGGATGGCCCAGAATTTTAGTTAAGTGTAGCTAGTGGTGTGGAATCTTGTGAGTCTAGACTAGATAGACGACTTAATTGAATTTGTAGACGGGCGTAGTGGTAGACTCTGGCTAGTAACTAGCTGTACAATCCTAACGCTCTTTTAAACGATTTTTAGCAAGTGCAATGCAACCCTGTTTGTGGCCTGGCAACCCTGGAGGTTTCAGGGTTACATGTTCCAAAACGCTGAGAAATCAGGGAAGCCAAAATTTCAACACAAGGCCCTCAGGGTAATTTTTTTTCCCCATTCGACAGCTCAGGGTGCTTTTTTTTGAAACGTCAGCCCTGCTCCTGACTCCCTCCTGACTCCTCCCTCAGCGCTGCTTCCCCTCAGTATATTTGCGGCAGGAACGTCTGGTCCGACACGGGCGGGCGCACGTAGAAGTCCTCCTGCAGGGGCGGCAGGGGCATGCTCTCGGGCTCGGTGAGGTCCTCATAGGGGATCAGGCTCAGCAGGTGCGCCAGCACGTTCAGCCGCGCCCGCTTCTTATCATCGGCCGGCACGACGGTCCAGGGCGCCTGCTTGATGTCGCAATACCCGAACATGACGTCCTTGGCGTACGAGTAGTCGGCCCACCGCGCGCGCGCCTCCAGGTCCATGGCGCTCAGCTTCCACCGCTTCTCTGGGCGCGCCAGGCGCTCCTTGAAGCGCCGCTCCTGCTCCTCCGCGCTCACCGAAACCCAGTACTTCACCAGGATGATCCCCGACCGCACCAGCATGCGCTCGAACTCGGGGCACGAGCGCAGGAATTCCCGGTACTCGTCGTCGGAGCAGAAGCCCATGACGTGCTCCACGCCCGCGCGGTTGTACCAGCTGCGGTCGAACAGCACCATCTCGCCCGCAGAAGGCAGGTGCGCGATGTAGCGCTGGAAGTACCACTGCGTGCGCTCGCGGTCCGAGGGCGTGCCGAGCGCCTTGATGCTGCAGACGCGCGGGTTGAGCGGCCCCGAGATGGCCTTGATGAGCCCGCCCTTGCCCGCTGCGTCGCGCCCCTCGAACAGCACCACCACGCGCAGCCCCTTCTGCCGGATCCACTCCTGCAGCTTCACCAACTCCAGCTGACGAGGAGGGGGGGGGGATGGAAGTGGAGAAGAGGTGAGACGAGAATCGTCAAAGTTTTGGGCTTGGGGGCAGGGGAAGGGAGATTAGAATGCCTGTCGTACAATAAGTCCTTATTGGCCCTTTTCCTAGGCGCCTTGGTGCGAGCGAGTCACAAAGGTGGGGGGGAGATGGAGGAAGGAAGGTGGGAACGCGGCCACGGGACGCCACGGGACGCCACGGTGAGTACCCGGGGCTCTGGGGGGTGGACGGGAGTGCGCAAGTGTGCGGGCATACTTGGGTGGAAGGGCACGAGGGAGGTGCATTGGCTCGTATTCTCGGGCGTTAGATTCCGGGCGTTATGCGACGTCAAGTGGTCGTGCGGCACGCAAGTTGAACAGTATCAACGTGTTACTGTCCGAGCAGCCGTGCCAAGCCGCGCAGCTCACCAGATCGCGCACAATTCGTCTGAATGGTTGTTGGATGTCCGGTTCCTGGAACCCCACTCAACCGCTGACCGGCCTTCATCAAGCCAGTTCGCCCCTGCAAGCCCCTCGCGTCGTCTCACCTGCAGTCGCTCGAGCTCGTCGTCATAGTCGTAGTCCTTCTTCTTCCTCCCGCCGTCCCTCGCGGCCGCCATGGCGTGCGACGCCGAGTCGTCGGGGTAATGCCCTCGCCGCTCGACGCGGCCCTTCTCCGCCGCATTCGCGCTCCCTCCTTCCCTCCCGCCGTCAATCTTCGAGCTCCACTTAGCCTTATCGCCGCTCACCACACCGGCCATCGCGGCTCCATTCACCTCTCTCCTCCTGACGCTCTCCTTTTTCCCGCCGGTCTTCTTCGCGCCCTTCTTCTCCGAGTCGCTGAGGTCCAGGTCCACGTGGTGGTACACGCGAGGCGCCCAGTTAAGGTGCTGGTGGTGAACAGTGTCGCGCCCGCCGAGAGCCAATGAGAACTCGCGGCGCCTCGTCGCCTCCTTGGTGGCCCCTTCAGCTTTCTTCGCCGCGACGCGCGCTGACGAATCGCTCTTCCGCGCGACCGGCGCTCGGCATGGTGTTGCGCGGAGAGGCGGTTGCGCGTATGGGCGAGGCGTATGTATTTGGCGAGCTTGTTGTCTGAGTCGAGCCGCGGCCCACTCTGCGGACAGCGGGTTTACCGGCGCGGCTGCCGCTCGCGAGACAGCGGGTTGAAAGGCGTGCATGGCGGCGAGAACGAGCAGAGGCCGACGAGAGACGAGATGGGAGATGCAATCAAGAGCAGCTGGCGTGCACGGAGCGGTGCAGGCGGGTTGTTGGCGCGCGGCAGTGCTGGCGGGACGATGCCTCAACGTTAGCTTGTGTAGATTTCCCCTACCTCTATCGCTCCTATACCTATTGGTCCTTGTTTCCTAGGATGATTGCGCATTCATGTCCGGTGAGTACTACGATCGCAATGGGAGCGGCTGAACGAATTCCTGCTTGTGCGGCTGCTTCGTGGTCTAAACTCGGGTGAGTGCCGTAAAAAGTCGGGGAAGGGGTGATGGCAAGAATGGAGTTGGTGGTGAGGAAAAGCGGGAGAGGATTGGAGTGGGAGGGGAGGATGGCGAGGGGTGGTGGTGGGGGTTGGGGCAGGGGATTGATGGGAGGGAGGGGAGGGGGATGGTGGCAAGCGACACGACGGGACGTGCGGGATGGATCGATGGGGCAGGAGAGCACCAAGCCCACGCTGACAGCGGGGCAGGTGCGCGCCTCGGCTCGTTCAGTGGCAGGTCGCTCTGGGCACGCGCAGCTGGGGGCTTCAAATAAAAAACCTAGTCGAGTACACAAACTGCGAAGTTTCAGGCATCGGCAGCGGTGGCGAAGTGCACACGAAAGGAAAACCTGAGCAGCTTCCACGATCCGCGGCCGTTGAAAGAGGAGGTCGTTGGGAAATGGAATATTCTTTTTGTCGCCGATTCAGCAAAAGTGCAGCCACGTGGAAATTAAAACAAATCAAGCTGGGGCAAACGTTTCCGTCACACGTCATTGTTCTTTCATGAAGGCCTCGTTAAACGCAGGATGACTCCACCGATGTCTGATACCACGCACTACACGGCGTTTATATGGTCAAATAGCTACTCATGACTTGTCGAGCTAATGCATCTGCTCCACTATTTCTGTAGATAGCAACCAAGTTATGGGCTGCTTCTCTTTTCAATCCTGTGTCATAATCTTGCTGCATTACTTCCTGATCATTGACCCTTGTTCTGTGGATCCTCCCACCTTGTTGCTCAGCACTGGCATTGTGTGGGTGGCGAGTGGCGGCAAGTACTACCTTGTAGTGGTCAACAGCGAGGTGGAGGAGACCCACGTGGTGGAAAGCACGAGCCATGTTGAAGTGCACTTCCTGAAGCGTGCAATGGGGAAATCAGAACCAAACAATGCACAATGAAAAGGGGCCAACCAAAGCATAGGAGGCACCAAAGCACAAATAGAGCATGGACGGATCGTGGGGACAAACCAGGTCACCAATCAAAGACATTGATGTCATCTCATAATGAGACGACCTTCGTTTCGCCCTCACCTCTGTGTCTCCTGAGAGCTGGGCGTACTGGTGCAGCAAGGCAATGCCTTGCAGCACACACTGGCTTCGGTCACGAAGGCGCGAGCCCAGGGAGAGATTCAGAAGCGCCACTCCTGGCGGTGGAGGGGTTGTCAGGGGGTGCACGGGGCTTCATCACGAAAGGAGCGTGTGAGAGCGGCTGTAGTGCATGGCAGGGAGGGTGAAGGGCGAAGGCAGAGTGAGAAAGGGTGGAGGGCGAGAGCAACCGAAAACAAATCTTGGGGTTTGGGGGAAGAGGGGCCATGCCCATGAGCCCAAGCAGACCGTATTCCGTCCCAGACCTAAACCCAAGAAAACACCCCCCCCCTCCCCCCCCACACCTCATTCCCCCCCACCCCCAACCTTCCACCAACCCCCTCCCCTCTTCATCCCACACTTGTGGCCCAAAGCCCCCCTAGTGCACCGCAGCAGAGGCAGATGAGCGGGTCGTTTGGCTGCAGGCGGTGTGCGCGCAGGTACTCCCGGCACGCGCCCTGCATCTGCCCGCTCAGCGCGTGGTGGTGCCCCGACACCAGCAGCGCCGCCACGCACATGGGGTGGCGCATGCGCATCTGCTGCAGGAACTTGGCGCGCCGGTCGTTGCTCTCGATGCCCCTGATGGGGGACAGGGGACCCACGGATGGACCCGGGGGAACCGCGGGAGCAGGATGGCTCAGGATGAGTGTTTAATCGGCATGTCGTAACATGGAACGATGCACGCATGGCAGGCGTGCATGTCCAATGGACCCATATTTTTCAGGGTCAACCATGGTGGAAAAAGCCTTGCGAGGCAGCGGTTCTGAAAAAGCTCGAGCTGAAGGGATGTTCAGGAAGTTTTGATGGAAAACCAGTGATGAACTAGTTTCGGCTTATACAAGCCTTCATCAGCATCTACTGAACATCGGAGCATTCGAGCTGTCTAAATAGTGAGAGTGCGACCCGAGAAAAACTCGAGGGTCCACACCATCCCCGAGAAGGGGTCACTGTAGCCTAGCAAAAAACTAGATAAGTGGAACAATTTTGAAACACTAAACTAGCATTTCCTTGCTGAGACTATAAAATATTTGATCTTCGTTGGCAGCTATAAAATCCTTGATCTTCTTTGGCAGCTTCCATGCAATCAATGCACGTCGGCTGGAGAATAAACCGTGTGTCAGGTTGTCCAGTTGTATTTTGAGTCGACTCAAAATTGGCCCGAGACCCGAGCGCTCCACAAGAGGATTGAGGAGGCACTTCAAGACCAAGGGGCCACGGTCAGGTTTGGTCCGCAGTTCAGCGGCACGCCGGAGAAGCTCGGTTCGGTCAGAAAATCTGACGCGCTTGAAGATCTCTAAAAGGAAACGTTCCGGGTAACCCCGGGCGCGAATTCGGGCGAAGAAAAGAGCTCGAGCAGCGAAAAAGTCAGCTCGGTTCGTAGAACGAAGAAGTGTTCGCCGTAACTCGCTGGAAATGAAGCTGACTTTGTAGCTCTTGGTGTGGTAGGACCGGAACGGAAGGTACATGTACCGGTTCATAGGCTTCTGGAAGAGTTTCACATCCAGTGAGCCTTCCTTCGAAAAACGACTCCCCTTGAAAAAGGTAATATCGAGGAAATCCACAGTCTCCTGAGATACAGTCCAGGTCAACTTGATGGAAGGATGCAGCTTTCCGAATTGGAGCCGAAATTCCTCGAACGAGGAGGGGGGCCCATCCCAGAGGACAAGGCCATCGTCAATATAACGAAGGTGAAGCGCTGGTAGCTGACTGAGTTTCAGATCTGGATAGCTCCGAAAAATACTGGACGGCGAAACATACTGCTGCGGAAGTTCCCATAGCAGTCCCTTGAATCTGGCGAAAAAATCAGCCATCGAAAGCCACGTAACTGTTAAACATTACCAAGCGGAGCAGGCGGACAACAAGAGGGGCAAGTGGGTGCCTGACACGCCGTAAGAAAAATCCACTGCGTCAATCCCGTCCCAAAGCGGGATCGAAGGATACAAAGCTTCCACGTCGTATGAAGCCAGCAGAAGATTAGGTGGTAGTCTCTTAGCCTCCAGCAGTAAGAGTAGACTTCGCGAATCCTTCAGGTACGTCGGCTGGCTGGTAACCAGAGGCCGTAAAACAGCGTCAAGCCAACGGGAAACATTAGAAGTGACCCAAGAGTGGGAAGCCGCAATCGGTCTTCCCGCAAGGACCTTCTTGTGCACCTTCGGAATAGTGTAAAAAGCCGGGACTTTCCAGCCTCAAGCCGGCGGCGCAAGAAAGGATTTCCACATTCTCGCCTTAAGCAGAGGTTGGAAATCTGCTTGAATGCCATGGAAGTCTTTCATAATTTCAGCATCCGGGACTTCTTGGTATTCACGATAAACTTGCCTGTCCAGGAGATGTTTAAAACACATGTCCTTGTAAAAATCCCTGTCCATGACAGCCAAACCCAGGTTCTTGTCGGCGGGTTTAAAAACCAAATTCTGGTTGGAAGCCAGTCGCCGAAGTGCTGGTAGCAGTTTAGAAGTTCTCCTGGTAAACTGTTGTTCTTAAACTGCTTTCATGGCTACATGCTTGAAGAGTGAGAGTGCTGTTTCCACCTCAGCAGATGCGAGGGGAGGATTCCAGTTCAGCCGTTTGGGAAGCTTGTAACCGGGAAACTCAGATTTCATCGCAGCACCGTTGAACAAAATAGTCGTACGAACGTCTTGAACGAGACCTTCTAACTCTTCAGCAAAAGAATTGACATGACGAGCAGCTGGAACAGGGATAAAGCTGAGACCCATGCCAAGGATTTCTGCTTCAGGACGAGAGAAATGAAGACGGGAGAAATTGTGGTAGTCCTTGTTGCTCACACGACACCGCACTTGACTCACGGTCTTTCGACCAAAAAGAATCAAGGCATAGCGGTGGACATCTGCGACTAAGGTTTCTTCCCCTTTCCGCGGCCGCTTCCGCCGTTTTTTGACTGGTGATTCTGCTTCGGCTTGTGCCTCTGCTTCCAGTCCTGCTTCTGCTTCGGATTATTATTCCTGCCAGTAGAAGAGTTAGAAGCCTTGGAAGACGGAGCAACATACGGATTCCTGGAAGAAGAGGCAATATTGGAACCTCCGAAGGAGTTTTCCTGAATCGGCTTCTTCCCCTTGTCAAGCGGACGGTTGGGCTTGTTAGCGGGTCCTTTAACAGGACGTTTGTTTGAAGTCACCGAGGAGTCGCCAGTCTTCTTAGAAGTCTGGGACTTATTCTTCAGAATCTCCTGCTTCTGATTCTGCTGCTTCTGCTTCTGCTGTGGGTTGAACTTCTTGTTGAGGATCTTATCAGCTTCATGCTTGACGACCTCACGGATCGAAGTGTCAACTGGTAAAGTTTCGGCTTCCGCAGCGGCCGTCTTCTTCTTTGCGTCAACCTCCTTGGCTTTTTCCGTCTGGTGGACTTCTGCCATAAGAGCGTCAGCAAGGTACAGTGACATCGATTTTTCGAACTCGGCCAAAATTTATCCTTGAAGAAGGCGAGATTATCGATGAGTTTCGGGTGTTTGTCTCCGAAAGCACTGGCCTTGGTCAGATCGATGTAATTATTCAGCTTATCTTGGAGCCATTGATGAACCCCGTTAGCGTCACTGAGAGCCTTTTCGGCGGCCCTCTTCTTCATTTTAATCATGATCCCCTGAACGTTGCCAAGATAAGCCTTGCAGGCAATATGGAGCTCATTGTTGGCTTCGATCTTGACATCTTCGTAGGGACAGATGAAGTCAAAGGCTTTAATCCGAATGCTGTGCGGAAAGTCTCCGGATTTAGCTTGCGAATCCATAATAAAGTGCTGAGATAAACTTTGGTGCTTCGCGAAATTTTTCTTGAAATCTGCGATAGCTTGATTCTTAAAATCGTTGAAGCACGGAGGAACCGGGTGCTTGTCAAGAATAGATTGATGAACGTCTCCAAGCAAGGAGAAAGAATCCGTCATGACGACATCCTCTGGAGAGGAATCCTTAGGATTTGAAACCTTCGGTGCGTCATTAAGTGGCACGGTGGCCGTTCCAGCAGGAGCTTGCTCTGTAGAACAGGCGCGCTTCTTGTTGGGTTGGACGGTATTCGTCGAGTCATCTTCACCAAATACAATCTGCTCAATGTTAGCTGGAAGTTTGGGCAGTTGCCCTGATGGTCCAGGAAGAGCAGGTACTTGGTTGAGAGTTGGAGTTGGAGTAGTTGAACCGGCCAGCGCAGCGGCGATGTAAGGGGCGAGACCAATGGACCCATATTTTTCAGGGTCAACCATGGTGGAAAAAGCCTTGCAAGGCAGCGGTTCTGAAAAAGCTCGAGCTGAAGGGATGTTCAGGAAGTTTTGATGGAAAACCAGTGATGAACTAGTTTCGGCTTATACAAGCCTTCATCAGCATCTACTGAACATCGGAGCATTCGAGCTGTCTAAATAGTGAGAGTGCGACCCGAGAAAAACTCGAGGGTCCACACCATCTCCGAGAAGGGGTCGCTGTAGCCTAGCAAAAAACTAGATAAGTGTAACAATTTCGAAACACCAAACTAGCATTTCCTTGCTAAGACTATAAAATCCTTGATCTTCTTTGGCAGCTATAAAATCCTTGATCTTCTTTGGCAGCTTCCATGCAATCAATGCACGTCGGCCGGAGAATAAACCGTGTATCAGCTTGTCCAGTTGTATTTTGAGTCGACTCAAAATACACCCGGGGGAACCGCGGCAGCAGGATGGCACAGGATGAGTGTTTCATCGGCATGTCGTAACATAGAACAATGCACGCATGGCAGGCGTGCATGTGCGCCCACGTGTGTGTGCGTGTGGGTGTGGGCGTGCGTGTGCGTGTGTGTGTGCGTGCGTGCGTGCGTGCGTGCGTGCGTGCGTGCGTGCGTGCGTGCATGCGTGCGTGCGCAAGGCAGAGACACAGATCCTGAGAGTGACCGCACGTAGCAGCTGAGTGCACCTGAGAGTGAGGGTGCAGAGGAGCGCACCTGAGAGTGAGTGTGCGGAGGAGCGCACCTGAGAGTGAGTGTGCGGAGGAGCGCACCTGAGAGTGAGTGTGCGGAGGAGCGCACCTGAGAGTGGGTGTGCGGAGGAGCACACCTGAGAGTGAGTGTGCGGAGGAGCGCACCTGAGAGTGAGTGTGCGGAGGAGCGCACCTGAGAGTGAGTGTGCGGAGGAGCGCACCTGAGGGTGAGGGTGTGGAAGAGCGTCCAGCCGCGGATGCTGTGCGGCTGCTCGCTGATGATGGCGCGCGCCACCTCAAACTGCAGCATGCCACTCGCCTCCTCTGCGCCGCCGTGGGGGGGGGAGGTGAGGGGAGAGAATGATGGCACAGCGGGAGGGCGGGAGGGAAGTGAGAGGGCAGGGGGGGGGGGTGTGCGGAAGGGATAGAGGCGTGGCAGCGGGGTGCGGAAGCTCACCACCGATGGCTGACTGCAGCTGCTTCCGCATGGGCTTGGGAAGGTTCCGGGAAAGCGCGCTCTCCACGAGCCTCTCAGCGTCCATGGGGCGGCCGTCGTGCAGCAGGCACTGCACCACCTGGGACGAGGGGGACGGAGAGGGGAGGGGTGGTGGTGGGGAGGCGGGCGGGATGCCATTTGTGCCGACTCAAAAGTCGTGTCGTGGTTTTGCACCACCTGGGGTGATTCGAAGGGGGGGGGGCGGTGGGAGAAGTGCACTGTCGAGACACCGACCCCCCAAGGTTCTCGGGCAACAGACACCGACCTCTGAGCGGCCTCTAGGGGATTGTGACACAAATGCGACACATATGGGGGGTGGAGAGGGGAGGGGAGGGCAGAGGCAGAGCAGTGCGGGGTGCATGGGAAGAGACGGGGCGGTGTGGGATGGGAAGAGGCGGGGCGGTGTGGGATGGGATGAGCGGAGCGGAACTTGTGGGGAGTGAAGGGTGGGAGGTGGCAGCAGCAGGGAGCGCGAGAAGGGGCGCTCCACCAGCACCCGGCACCGTCGGCCGCTGACAGAAGGATGATGGCGCTGAGGGACGCCAAGGTGCGACGGGAGACCGAAGAAGGAGCAGCAGAGCACCTTGAGCAGCACGTGGAACTGCTGGTCGTCTGAGAATATTCCAGGAAGTGGCACCTCGTGCAGGCGGGGCTCCTCCACGTCCGGCAGCCCCAGGTCGCTCAGCTGCACGCCCAGGGGGGAAGGGGTAGCAGGGTAAGGAGGATAAGGGGGGGAAGGGCGGTGTCGGGGGGAAAGGGAAGAAAGGGTGGGGGTAAGGGGATAGGGGGATTAGGCGGTTAGGGGGTTGGGGGAGGGGAAGTTTCTGAGAGGAGGGAGTGAGAGAAGCAAGGTGAGGGGGGATGCAGTGGAGCACAGCTTTCACGCGGATGACAACAGGCCATCATGTGCAACGCACCTCACTCACCACATGTTGCTTCACCTCCCCTCATCTGTTCCCCTCATTCTCACAACCCCTTTCCCTGCTCCCTCTTCCTCTCCTCCCTAGCTTCCCTCTCCCTTCCCCTACCCCCATGTTCCTTCCGTATCTCCCCCCCCACCTCTCGCCCCTTGCCTCACCTCCAGCTGCAGCCGCACCGAGTCCGTGCCAATCCCCCTTCGACCGCTGCCACATGGCATAGCTGTTCCTCCCCCCTCTCCTCCCGTTCCCCCATCTCCCTCCCCTGCGCCCCTCGCCCCCCCCATGGCTGCCTGCCTCTCCGCCTCTTCTGCTGCCAGCCGTGCCAGTCGTCGGCGATTCGCCAGCTGGCAACTGACAGGGGGGGTTGGGAGAGGGGGAGGGGGGATGGGATATTGAGGGAGGAGTGGCGATGGGGTGGTGGGAGATGAGGAGAGGCGACGGGGTGGTGGGAGATGAGGAGAGGCGACGGGGTGGTGGGAGATGAGGAGAGGCGACGGGGTGGTGGGAGATGAGGAGAGGCGACGGGGTGGTGGGAGATGAGGAGAGGCGACGGAACGGCGAGCGAGAGAGGAGGCGAGGTGATGAGGTGGTGGGATGAGGAGGGCAGGGGATGGAATGGCATGAGAGAAGGCGGGGTGGTGAGGACGTGTGAGGGAGGAATCCCTCATCCTCTCACAATATTACTCTCTCCACTGCTCTAGCCAGCCTAACCTTATCCCCTATATAGCCCTTCATCAGCCTCAGCCTCGTTTATAAGACTGAGCACCATGGCCCTACTCGTCGTTTCACCACCCCCCCCCCCCCCACCCACGCGATCCCCCGGGGCAGGCGCAGCTTGAGCCCGCGGTACAGCCCCTCCTTGCCCTCGCGCGCCTGCTCGCCCAGCATCGCCTTCAGCTGCCGCATCCACGGCCGCCACGACGGGTGAGCTGCCTTAAAGGCTGACAGGGCCTGAGAGGGGCGCAGGGAGAGGTGAGAGAGGAGAGGAGAAGAGCAGGAGGTGGCTTGTGAGTCGACCCAAACCAAAATCACATTCACGGCAGTTCACATCTGTGAAGTGCCCAAGGCTTACAAGTGCCCAAGGCTTACAAGTGCCCAAGGCTTACAAGTGCCCAAGGCTTACAAGTGCCCAAGGCTTACAAGTGCCTGACTGCAGATGCCTCGAATATCCATCAAGCCTTCTTCCTCCACAAACTCAACCAGGCCAAAAGCGCCTTTGCCCCTCCCAATTTTTCATATCACCAATCTTAACCCTTACCTACGTCCCTGCCACCCAACCACCTGCCACCCAACCCGCTGCCGCCCAGCCCCCTGCCAGCCAACCCCCTGCCACCTACGCCCCAGCCTCAACCCACCCGCTGGTTCTTGTCCATGGCCCACATCGACTGCTGCACCATGGGCAGCGCAACTTCCAGGAACTTGCTGGCGTTGTCGGCCTTGTCCCACAGGTGCGCCCGCGCCAGTCGCACCTCCACCAGCTTCCACCACGCCTCCGCCTGCCGGCCCCCCACGGGCCCCGCAGCTGCAGCACCAGCAAAGCTGGCAGTGGCAGTCGAAGCCCCCTCTTGCGCGTCGCCCTGCACCAGCACCTCCTTCCCCTTGCCCTTCTCCCCTTCCTCTCCTCCCTGCTGCGCTGCCTTGGGTCCCCTCTGCCGCCCCTCAGTCCGCTGCTGCGTCCCCTCCTGTGGGCCGTCCTCTGCCCCCTCCGTGGGCCCCTGCAGCACGGCAGCAGCCTCGTCCAGGCGGCCCGCCTGGGCGAGAGCGGAGGACAGCTGCAGGCGCGCGTGGGGCAGCCAGGGCAGGCACGCCACCACTGGGGGGGGGGAGAGCAGGTGTTGGCGAGCGAAGAGGTGGGAATGACAAGGATGGGTGAGGACAGGTGAGGACAGGTGAGGACAGGTGAACACAGGTCAGTAGGCACTAGCAAACGAGTCGAGTTGGAAACTCGACTCGTTGACGAGTCGAGCTTTAAAAAAGGCTTCCCCGACTCGGCTCGAGTCGAGTCGAGTCGAGTTGGGCAAGGCACGAGTAAACCTCGACTGGAACGTGGTGTTCTTGGCTAGTCAGCAACGAGTCGGGCCGGGTCGGGTCGAAATTGGCTCAAGTGAATCCATTTCGCCGCCGATCGGCATGGATCGAGTCGTTTCGACCGCCGATCCATGCGGATCTAGCGTCGACAGAGGGGACCAGTATTCCCCGCATATGTGAAACGAGTAGAGTCAAGCTCGGCTCAAGCAAGTCGGCCCTTGAATCGAGGCGAGTCGGCCCTTGACTGGGGGAGAGTTGAGTGGAAAGAATAGTGTCGTGCTTCTCTCTTCTCTCCCATTCATTTCACCTGTCCTTCCTCATTTCTTCTCTTTCCTTCTTGGTGACCCTTCCGCCTTTGGTAGGTGATTACTGGAGCTGTAGGACCGAGCTCTCCTGCCCCCTCCCTGGTCGAATCGGACGCCTTGTCCGCTTCGGCTCTGGGACTCTGCTGCTTGGTCCGCCTTTCTCCGGCTGCCGCGACGTTTGTTACATGCTCTCTCCTCGTTTCCCCTTTCTCGTTCTCCACCACTAGCACTCCCGATGAGCGAATCTCTTTGACGCGCCACCTCTCACTTCCTACTGGTAGCTCCAAAGTATCTTTCCGCGCCTTTTTCAGGTACACCTCGCTTCCCACGGTCACGCTGCTGGATGTCCCTCCTGTCACTTGTTCTCGGCGTTGCTGATATCTGCGTGCATCCCTCAGCTGCGCGGTATGCAGATTTTCCAGCGCTGCTGGCATCAGCTCCTTCAAGTACTCTCCTCTACGCACTGCAGCTGCCGCCCAAGCTTCCGCTGACTCTTCGTTCATTGGCTCAGTAAGTAGCTTAGGCACATCTACGGGCAGCACTGGCTCTCTGCCGTATAGCAAGTGGTATGGGGACATGTCCTTCAGCGCTGACTGCTTTGCGAACCGATAGCCCGCCAGTACCCATGGCAGCTCTATGTCCCACTCTCTCTTCCTCCGTTCTCCGTACACCCGCAGTCCTTTTTTTATCGTCTGTATCATCCGCTCGGTCAGCCCGTCAGACTGCGGGTGGTACCGCGACGTCACTCTGTGAGTGATACCTGCTTCTTTTAAGAGTTCGGCAAAGCTGCCTTGGAACTCCGTGCCTTGATCTGTCAGCACTTCCCCGCAAGCGCCATATCTGGTGAGTACTTGATCCAGAAATGCTTCCCTTATCAGCCCGCTGTGTTTGCTGGCGATAGCTCTTGCCTCCACCCACTTGGTCGTGTGCTCTATCATCACCACTATGTACATCTTCCCTCGTCTGGATAATGGTAGTTCACCGGCCAGGTCCAGTGACCACCTGAATCCCAAGCCCCGTATGGGCAGAGACTGCAGTTCTTCCCTTCCCTTCTCCAGCGCTGCCTTGTTCCGTTGACATGCCTCACACCCCTGCACCCACTTCGCTACGTCTCTCCTCATTCCTGCCCACTAGTAAGTCGTTTGTAATAGCTGCCTGGTCCTGGCTCCCCCGTAATGCCCCAGCTTCTCATGCACTTGCTGCACGATGCGCTCTCTCTCTTCCGGCCTTGGCACCATTTTCCATCCCTCTGTCGTCCGGAGCTGCATTTGGCTCTGAAACCACGGTAGTGTCCTCCTCTACCCCTTGCTCTCACTGTCACTGCTGCTGCATCCTCTGTCAGCCCCTGCACCCAGTGCAATGTCTCCTGGTCTTGCCAGATGTCCTCTGCTCTTTGCTCCTTCGCCTCTTGCGCCAGATCTTTCTCTCCCTGCTGTATTGCGGCTGCTGCCCACTGCTGTTCCTCTGCGGGTGGAGGGTTCCTGGACAGACTGTCAGCATGTTGCAGCGTCTTGCCCGCGCGATGCTTGATGACAAAATCATATTCCTGCAATCTCATTGCCCATCGTGCATTCCGCCCCGTCAGCGTCTGATTAGTCATCAGCCATAGGAGTGGCTGGTGGTCTGTTACTAGCGTGAATTTGCGCCCTTGCAAGTAGGCCCTGAAGTGGGTTACTCCCCACACTGCTGCCAGTCCTTCGCCCTCGTATGAACTGTAGTTAGCTTCCGTTGCTGTACAGCTTCGACTGGCGTACGCCACCACTCGCTCTTCTCCTCCTAGCTCTTGACACAATACGGCTCCCATTCCCATGCTGCTCCAGTCCGTGTAGATTGTGAATGGCGCGTCTTTCTTTGGCAGCTGCAGCATCGTCCCTGCCTTGATGGCCTCTAACAGGTCTCTTCTTGCCTGCTCCTCTTCTGCACCCCACTTCCATGCCTGCCCCTCCCTCAGCAGCTGATTCAATCTATATGCTCTCTTGCTGAAGTTCGAGATAAAGCGCCAGTAGTAGTTCAAGAACCCCAGGAGTGCTCTCAGGGCTCCCTTGTCTTTTGGTGCCCCCAGCTTGTCTAGCACCGCCACCTTGGCCTCTTGGATCCCCATCTTCCCGCCTTGCACCTCAAATCCCAGGTAGGCGACCGTCTTTCTGGCTATTTTGCATTTCTCTGGATGGCAGGTCAGCCCTGCTGCCGCTATAGCATCTAGCGTTGTCTTCAGGTGTTCAGCATGCTCTTCTTCGCTTTTGCTGAAAATCACTACGTCATCTATGTAGCACGCTGCTGCTGGCACTGTCTTCAGCACTTGATCCATGACTCTCTGGAACACGGCTGATGCGTTCCTCAGCCCAAACGGCATCACATTCCATTCGTACAGGCCGTCAGCTCCATGGAAGGCCGTCTTGACTTTGTCTCCTTCTTTTATTGCTATCTGATTGAAACCCTGTCGCATATCTAAAGTCGAGAATATGACCGCTCCTTCTAGCTTGTCGAAGATCTCCTCAGCAGTTGGCATGCTATATCGGTCGGCTCTCGTTACTCGATTGAGTTCTCGGTAGTCGCCACACATTCTTCTCGCCAGCACCTCTCCTGTGAGATCTGTCCTTGCTGCCACCACTGTCGCTGCTGCGTAGGCTGAGTTAGAAGGGCGAATCAGCCCCGCCTCCAGCAGTTCTTTGCATTTGCTTCGGCATATCTCTTCGTCTCCCGTGCTCATCCATCGTCTCCGCTGGTAGATGGGTACTTCGGTCTCCAGCAGTAGCTCCAGCTCGTGCAGCGTGCATCTCCCCAGGTCTTGCAAGGTGTAGGCAAATGTCTTACGATGGCTTTCTAGAGCTCGCTGTATTGCTGTAGCCACCTTGCCGTCAAGGTGCGGGCTCAGCTCCCACTTTTTCTCTCTTTCCTTCTTTGGCTCCTCCCCCTTTTTCTTGTCCCTCGCCTCGCCCTGCTCTCCTTCTTGCGTTAGGTAAGCCCGGCTTTGTTTGATCGGCTTCCTTTCTCCTTCTGCTGGCCGTTGGCTCGGTTCTCGTTCGTGTTGCTGCCGCATCATTTCCTTCAGCAGCCATTGTAAGGCATGCTGATCCATCGCCCTTCCCAAGGCCGCCCTGCGCTCCAGCTCCCTCACTCCTCGTGCTGCCGTTGCCCCCGGCAGGTATCCCATGGCTAATTCTCGCTCGATTGCTGTTGGCTCCTCCCACTGCCCTCTCTCTCTATCGTAGACCATCCCTGGCCCTGGCTTGCCGTCTTCCAGTACGAACCCCCGTGCTCCCTCGTAGGCCACTAGGGTGGGCCAGGCTCTTCTTGGCTCGCCCAGCTTGTTGCACTGCAGCTGCTTCGGGTGATCTCTCTTTTCTACAGGGGCCGCTGTCCTTCCTGGCTCCAGGATGTCGTCTACTAAGAGTCGGGTGTCCCTCCTTAGGTCTGCTAATTCTCGCTTCAGCTTCTCTGGCTCCACTTCATTCTGCCAATATCTCCTTACCCAGTGAGCCCTGGCCTGGTTCAGTGCTGCATCCCAGCTTGTGCCTGCCCCCAGCTCTGCCACCACCTTCTCTTGCGTTGCCCTTATTGGTTCTCGCGGGTCCCCCTCCATATCGACGTGCTCCACCACATAGCAGCATCTCGATCCCCCTTCCTGGATCCACCTCAGCACTTGCAGGAGCTCGTCCAGTAACGCCGTGCGAGCATCTTCCATTCCTCGCCCCTTTCCGGCTCTTGAGGTGCCTTGGCACTCCCAGCCCGCCACTACCAGGTCCACTTGCCCCCATCCCCATACGGTTGCTTCGTTCAGCTGTCTCACGTCCCACGCTCCTTCCTTTTTCGCCTCCTCAATCACTGCTTTACTTATCTGTCCTGGGTATCTCATGAGCAATTGGTCTGCATGATGCCAGGCCATGCGCCTGGCCTTTGGGTCTATCTCCACTAGTATCCATTTTTGCACGACCAATCCAGCTTCTAGTGCTGCTGCCAACCCCGCCCCTATTCCTCCAAAGAGCTCCACTATCGTGATCGGCTCATCGCCCAGTGTAGCTCCCTTCATCTGCCTAAGAGATTCCTTCCTACCTTTCTCGGCCTCTTTCTTGCCCCCTGCTGTTTTCTCCTCCTCTACCTTCTGTAGTGACTCCATGGCTCTCAGGGCCTTCCTTGGCTCCATCTTCACAAACCGCACCGGTAAGTCTCCCTGTTCTCCGCCTTCTTTCCAGTTCTCGGTCCTGAAGCTCAGCTTCTCCCCCCATGCATCGATCTGCCCCCCTATCTTGTAAATCAGCTCCATCCCCACTAGCAGGTCGTAGTCTTCTGACTCGGACAGCCCGCACTGCACTCGAATCCGAGTCTCCCCTTTCTTTCCTGGCAGCAGCGTCACCTCCACCGTCTCCTTCGTGCTTGGCATCCATTTTGGTGGCCCGCCCTCCGCCGTCATGATGAGCATTCCTTTGCTCACTGTTTCCAGCTTCCCTTGCTTCTTCAAACTCTCTGCTAGCCTCTTGCCCATCAGTACACTCTGCGCTCCTGTATCGATGATGGCATTCTCCACCTTCACTCCTTGTACGGCTATAGAGCCTGCTTCCGCCAGTAAGGCGGTCGTGTGGCACACCAGCCTGTCCTCTAGATGATGCTTGGCCCGCTCCCTTACTTCTTCTTCTCTCTTGCCCATCTTCCTGCTGCGTGTCTCGGCCTTCAGCTCCTTCCTCCCATCCACCCCACCGCTGCGCAGTCCCAGATCTTCTCTTGCTCGGGGTAGTGTCGCCACCATCGCGTACTCAGACTCCTGATCCTCTTACTCATCCTCATCCTCGTCCTCCCACGCCATAATCGCTTTCTCTGGATCTTCGCTGATTTCCGCTTTTCCCAATTGTGCTCTCAGCTTCTTCACCTCCTGCTCCAGCTCTTGTTCTCTCGACGATTTCCCCCTTTGTCCTCCTCTCCGGTAGCACTGGGTGCTCAGATGCCCCTTTTTTCCACATTCGCTCCAGATGGGAGCCCTGGGGCAGTTCCTCCTGAAGTGGCCCATCTGTCCGCAGTGGTCGCACGTGATGCCCATCACGCAGTCCTTGCGGAGATGTCCCACCTCTCCACACTTATGGCAGCGCCGATCATCTCTCGGCCTCTCCCTCCTATCTTCTTCGTTGTCGACGTACTTCCGTTTCTGACCACACCGGTCTTCTCTTCTCTGGGGGTTTACGAGCTCCCCTCATCATGTCTACATAGCGTCTCCCCTCCTCAGCTTCTTTGGCGATCTGATATACCTGCCTCAGCGTGGCCTTGGCTCTAATGGGATACAGCGCACTCCTCATTTCATTGACTAAGTCTTCTTCCAGACCTCCTAAGAATTTCGTGACCATAAGACGGTCCTCTAAGCAGTTAAGATCTTCAGATAGCTCTACTAAACGGTTATAATATGCCAGCAGTGATTCGCCCTTCCCTCTACGGAACTCACTAAATTCAGCTACACGATCGGCCGTGTCGCCCGGAAACTGCTCTTTCAGAATCTCGTAGAACCGATCTACTATCATCCGGGCTGGAAGTTCCCCCTGCTCATATTCCCGCAACAGCCTTGCTCACTCTACTCGATAGTGCGTCTGAGCTTCTCCTCGGAGCGTCTTTCCTAGACCTCTGAAGAATTCTACTGGGTCCAGCCCCTCTCGATCCCAGCAATAGCGGATATCATCGATCATCATGATGTAATTCTTCAGCGATGGTTCTTCCCCAGGCACGCCTGAGAATCGCTCGGGCACTTCTATTTTCGGTACACTCGCGACTGTCGACCGTCCAGTTTCCCACGACTTCGTCCTTCCTCCTCCTACTGAGTAACCTCCCGCCGCTCGATCTTCTAGGGATCTAGTCCCGTGCTCTCTAGGCTGCTCCTTCTGGCATCTCTCTTCCTCTTTTTCCATCTCTGCTCGCTCCTGCGATCTCACTACGCGCCCTGGCGTTCCTCCGCGCGAACTCATCCCCGAATCTCCGCGACTCCGCGGATCTGGCGATCCGACGTCTTCTCCACCTTTTTCGCTCGCCGCCGCTGAAGCCTCCGCTTCACGTCTCTCGGGCTCATGTGGCCCTGCGCGATACACCGGACGCAGAGGAGGCTGCATCTCCTCCTGCACGTTCCTCGACGGGTATCTGATTCCCGATCTGAGGCGATGTCCCTCAGGACTCGCCTCTCGACTCATCACCGCCTGCGGTCCCACCCTCTTCTGCCCGCGGCTTATCTTCGTCACACCGCTAGTGAATCACTATCCTCAGCGGTCGCTCGGTCGCTTTTCGCTTGTATGTTACAAGCCACACGCCGCCAGCTCGGATCTGCTTAAGACCGAATTCCCGCGCTGCTAGACTCCAGTAGGTTTAGAGCAATTTGCAGTATAGAAGGAAAACATACAAGCGAAAAGCGAATGTCCTACGGAGTCACCTCCTATTTACATGTCCACCTCTATCCCTTTCTCACCCTTCCTCCTTGTTATCCTCTCGGGAACTAGGATTGCCCCTAGCCCAGGTTCTCGTCAAATTAGCCCCATGCTGACGCCCTTCGCCCTCTTCCTGCATGCGCCTCGACACTCTAACATTCCAATGCCACCTCCCTAGATTCGCCCACTCCCAAATTCACTACAGTATTCTACTGTACCACCCCTTTTTGTTCAGCCTATGCTCTCTTGTATATCCCATCTTACAATTCTTCTCTTTCATCTTCTCACCACTTCTCTTGCTGCTGTGACAATAGGAGCGAGTGCAGGGAGAGAAGAGAAGGGCGAGCACACAGGGTACGGATAGAGAGGGTCGTGCAGGGGTGCACGCACTCACAGATGCACGCACACGCACACTCACACGCACAGATAGACACATGTGCACGTGCATGCCACACACACACACATGCACACACACACACACACACACACACACACACACACACACCCTTTCACACAAACCACCCACCCTCCCCACCCCCCCACCCCCAACGCCCATGCACGCACCTCGCTGCAGAATGAGCACAGCCTGGTCCACGTCTCCAGCAGCCGCACATGCTGCCCCCAGCTTCACCCACACCGCCGCTCGCCCCTCCACCTCCCCCCACGCTGCCGCTGCCCCATCGCTCTCGCCCTCTGCCGCTGATGCTGCCCCGGCAGCCCCTGTGGCAGCAACAGCAGCAGCCTGAGCAGCAGCGAGAGCCACATCATCCCAGGGGGAGCAGAGCGGGCGGTAGAAGCGGATGGCATCTGCCGCCCGGCCCACGGCCATGAAGGCGTCGGCTGCCTCGGTGAAGAGATCGGCGCAGTCGCCTGCACTCTCCTGCTGCAGGGCCGTGAGGTACGGCTGCACAAGGGGGGGGAAACGGAAAGAGGGGGGGAGGAGGCGTGCAGGGAGGAAGGGGAAAGGAAGGGAAGGGGTTGAAGAGATGAGCACAATATTCCTGCTTCTGATGGAAGGAATCAAAGCGAGGAGAAATTGAAACGATGTGGGCTCTCTTGCTACATGGCTGCCAAGTAGCGCTGAACGGGGAGGAAGACGGGATGAGGAAAGGGAAAGGAAAGGTGGGGGAGGCGGGCAGCGATTATGAGCTGCGAAGCCGTGCCACGCACGCGGTGGGAGCGCACAAGATGAAGCTCCACGCGTACGATAGAGCACGGCGGAAAGAACGCCGCGCATTGTTCCAAAGTCGTTCAAATACAAGCGAGGGACCACCATTGCCAAGGGTGCCTTGGAACAAGCGAGGGACCACCATTGCCAAGGGTGCCTTGGAACAAGCGAGGGACCACCATTGCCAAGGGTGCCTTGGAACAGCTCCATGCAACAGCTGCCATCACCCTCGCCTCATCCTCCCCCCAGCCTCACCTCGGCCTCCCGGAAGCGCCCCAGTCTGACGAGGCACACGCCCGCCTTGGCGCCCAGGTCCACCGGCAGGGCCTCCCCACTACACAGCGATGCGCGCGCGCTCTCCACCATACTCAGAGCTTCCCGAAAGTTCTGCTTGGCCATGTGCAGCTCCGCTAAAATGTTGACCGCCGTGAGGTCGACCGGGGGCGCGGGGCAGGGGGAGGAGGTGCTGGGAGGCGCGGAGGAGGAGAGCAGGGACTGGAGGACCTCGATGGCCTTGTCTGATTGGTCGATGCGGTGATACATCTGGCGGGGGGGGGAAGGAGATCCGAAATGGGTGATGGACGGGATGGCCATTGCAGTGCGTTGCAGTGCATTGTGCACGCATGGCTGTCAGCACAGACATACCCAACAAGAAATGCCCCGCGCTTGTGCTCTAAATCCCTGGCAACGCCATGCCACGTTGATGCACACGATCCCATGCCATGTTGATGCACACGATCCCATGCCAGGCAAATCAATGCAATCCCACACCACACCGGACATCTCACCCATCCCATGCATCTCACCCATCCCATGCATCTCACCCCTCCCATGCATCTCACCCATCCCATGCATCTCACCCCTCCCATGCATCTCACCCATCCCATGCATCTCACCCCTCCCATGCATCTCACCCCTCCCATGCATCTCACCCCTCCCATGCATCTCACCCCTCCCATGCATCTCACCCCTCCCATGCATCTCACCCAGCCCATGCATCTCACCCATCCCATGCATCTCACCCCTCCCATGCATCTCACCCCTCCCATGCATCTCACCCCTCCCATGCATCTCACCCCTCCCATGCATCTCACCCGCGCCAGCATCTTGCAGACCTCCCCATCGGCCTCCCTCTCCCCGCGCGCGTCTCTCTGTGCGCGCATCAGCTCCAAGGCAGCTGCGGCCCGCCGGAAGTCCCCCGCCTCCGCCAGCAGCAGCGCCTGGTCCCACCGCGCCTCCAGGTCCGCGGGCTCTTTGCGCACCACCTGGGAGGAAGGGGGTGGGGGGGGAGGGGGGCAGGGCAGCAGAAGTGTGCGGGAGAGAGAGGGCGAGACGGGCAATCGCGGCACACCGGTAGTCCCCCGCCTCCGCCACCAGCAGCGCCTGGTCCCACCGCGCCTCCAGGTCCGCGGGCTCTTTGCGCACCACCTGGGAGGAAGGGGGTGGGGGGGGAGGGGGGCAGGGCAGCAGAAGTGTGCGGGAGAAAGAGGGCGAGACAGGCAATCGCGGCACACCGGTAGTCCCCCGCCTCCGCCAGCAGCAGCGCCTGGTCCCACCGCGCCTCCAGGTCCGCGGGCTCTTTGCGCACCACCTGGGAGGAAGGGGGTGGGGGGGGAGGGGGGCAGGGCAGCAGCAGTGTGCGGGAGAGAGAGGGCGAGATGGGCAACCGCGGCACACCGGTAGTCGCCCGCCTCCGCCAGCAGCAGCGCCTGGTCCCACTCCCACGGCGCCTCCAAGTCACTGGGGTGGCGGCGCACCACCTGGGGTTCAGGACGAGGGGAGAGGGCGGAACAGAGGTGGGGTGGTGAGGGAGCAGAGGCAGCTGCAGCCCATTGGTAGTCCCCCGCCGCCCCTCTCTGCTCGCAGCAGCGCCTGGCCCCACCGCGCTTCCAGGCCATGGGGACGACGGCGCACCACCTGGGAGGGATGAGGGGGGGGAGATGGGAAGAGAGCGAAACACTGTGGCGTTTCAAGCAGCAGCAGCGCCGGGCCCCACCGCGCGTCCAGCCAGCAGGATCACGGCGCACCACGTGGGAATGGGGAAGGGGAGAGAGGGTGGCGGAGGGGGGCGCCCCCTGCCACCTCTCCAGTCATCCTGTGCCGCTGCCAGCAGCCGCGCCGCCTGCTCCCACACTGCCTCCAGGCCCGACCCGAGGGGCCCCGCCCCGGCGCACGACCTGGGAGGGATGGAGCGGGAGGGGCGTGGAGAGAGTGCGGGTGCGACGAGCAGCATGGGCGTGTGGGAGAGGACGAGCGGGAGCGGGGGGGCGAGGGAAAGATGAAGGAAAGGATAGGGGAAAGTGGGAGAGATGGGAAGGTGGGAACACGAAGAATAGACGGGGGAGGGGGAGAGGGAGGGGGAGAGGGAGGGGGAAAGGGAGGGGGAGAGGGAAGGGGAAAAGGGGCGAGCGAGGGTACCTTGGAGAGGCAGTAGAGGGACTGAGAGGGGTTGCCCAGCTCGCTGCAGCACACGGGGGGGCGTTGGGGGGGGCAGGGCGCAGCACAACACAAGGGGTGGGTCAGGCGGGGTTGGAAGAGAGGTGGCAGGCGGCGAGTAGAAGAGTGACTGATGCAGTCCATCCCAGCCATGCTGCCGGCATTCACTCCACCTTCCAACAGCCGCAGCTGTCTCGCTCTCTCACACTGCGCAGCGATCATGCTGAGGTTGACGCTCTCTCCCCCCCTCCCCCACCGCGCCCCTTACAGCGACCAGGCGGCCAGGCGGCGCCACAAGGCGGTGTCCTGCGGGGTGAGGTGCGCCGCGATCATGCTCAGGTTCACGGCGCGCCGCCGCTCGCCCAACGCCTCGTACACCAGCGCCAGCGTCTGGTAGCTGTCGGGCACGGAGGGGGCCTCGCGGATCACGGCCTCCAGGAGCGGAATGGCCTGCAGAGAGGGATGGAAGCGCGGGATGGAAGGGGTGGGGTTGGGATGGCGCGTGCCTGGGCAGCAGAGGCAGCATGTGGCGGCTGGGCGGGAATGATGGGACTCCCTTATCGCGGCCCCGAGGAAGGAAACCGCCTGGGGAGAGGGAAACCGCCTGGGGAGAGGGAAACCGCCTGGGGAGAGGGAAACCGCCTGGGGAGAGGGAAACCGCCTGGGGAGAGGGAAACCGCCTGGGGAGAGGGAAACCGCCTGGGGAGAGGGAAACCGCCTGGGGAGAGGGAAACCGCCTGGGGAGAGGGAAGGAGGCGGTGAGGGTGGGATGGCGAGTGCCTCGCGCAGCAGGGCGAGGTTGAATGCGCTGCATTCGTGACGAAGAAGAAGGCACGTGATTGAAACAGCATCATCAGGAAGCATCGAAGGATGAGCGCGTGCAAAGTTGTGATTGAAATCGTGGATAACAGATGAGCTCAGTCGCTTAAAAAAAAGCACTGCGCTGCGCTGAGATGGACACTCAGAACCGAACAAGTGTATGGCTGTGCACTGCGTGTTATGTGTGGCATGCCGAATCTACTCATGTCGCGGATGAAGAAGAGGGGGAAAGAACCGGGATGATGCGGCTGACGCATCATCTGCTCCGGGATTTCCCTTCGCCTACGCCTTCCTCCGGGATTTCCCTTCGCCTACGCCTTCTCGCCTTCCTTCTCGCCTTCCTTCTCGCCTTCCTTCTCGCCTTCCTTCTCGCCTTCCCTTCTCGCCTTCCTTCTCGCCTTCCTTCTCGCCTTCCTTCTCGCCTTCCTTCTCGCCTTCCTTCTCGCCTTCCTTCTCGCCTTCCTTCTCGCCTTCCCTTCTCCGCCTTCCTTCTCGCCTTCCTTCTCGCCTTCCTTCTCGCCTTCCTTCTCGCCTTCCTTCTCGCCTTCCTTCTCGCCTTCCTTCTCGCCTTCCTTCTCGCCTTCCTTCTCGCCTTCCTTCTCGCCTTCCTTCTCGCCTTCCTTCTCGCCTTCCTTCTCGCCTTCCTTCTCGCCTTCCTTCTCGCCTTCCTTCTCGCCTTCCTTCTCGCCTTCCTTCTCGCCTTCCTTCTCGCCTTCCTTCTCGCCTTCCTTCTCGCCTTCCTTCTCGCCTTCCTTCTCGCCTTCCTTCTCGCCTTCCTTCTCGCCTTCCTTCTCGCCTTCCTTCTCGCCTTCCTTCTCGCCTTCCTTCTCGCCTTCCTTCTCGCCTTCCTTCTCGCCTTCCTTCTCGCCTTCCTTCTCGCCTTCCTTCTCGCCTTCCTTCTCGCCTTCCTTCTCGCCTTCCTTCTCGCCTTCCTTCTCGCCTTCCTTCTCGCCTTCCTTCTCGCCTTCCTTCTCGCCTTCCTTCTCGCCTTCCTTCTCGCCTTCCTTCTCGCCTTCCTTCTCGCCTTCCTTCTCGCCTTCCTTCTCGCCTTCCTTCTCGCCTTCCTTCTCGCCTTCCTTCTCGCCTTCCTTCTCGCCTTCCTTCTCGCCCCTTCTCGCCTTCCTTCTCGCCTTCCTTCTCGCCTTCCTTCTCGCCTTCCTTCTCGCCTTCCTTCTCGCCTTCCTTCTCGCCTTCCTTCTCGCCTTCCTTCTCGCCTTCCTTCTCGCCTTCCTTCTCGCCTTCCTTCTCGCAGCTCGCGTCAGCCGTGTCCACCCAGCCATCCCCCCTTCTCCAGCTGGACCATCAATGTCAATCTTCACCTGACTGCTCTTCTACCATCAACTCTTCTCTATCCTCTTGCTCCTAACCACTCATACCCTAGTCCGTCCTCTCCTCTCCTCTCCTCCCTCCCTCACCTCGCTGTACCGCCCCATGGCGTACATCAGATTCGCATGTCTCACCTCGCTGTACCGCCCCATGGCGTACATCAGATTCGCATGTCTCGCCTCGCTGTACCGCCCCATGGCGTACATCAGATTCGCATGTCTCACCTCGCTGTACCGCCCCATGGCGTACATCAGATTCGCATGTCTCACCTCGCTGTACCACCCCATGGCGTACATCAGATTCGCATGTCTCACCTCGCTGTACCGCCCCATGGCGTACATCAGATTCGCATGTCTCACCTCGCTGTACCGCCCCATGGCGTACATCAGATTCGCATCCCCCAGCTTCGACACCACCGCCGGCGACAGCCGAGATGAGCCCTTGGGGCGCCCGCGCTTGCGCAGCTGCGGGCGGGGAAGTGCAGGTGGGGAAGTGCAGGTGGGGAAGTGCAGGTGGGGAAGTGCGGGTGGGGAAGTGCAGGTGGGGAAGTGCGGGTGGGGAAGTGCGGGTGGGGAAGTGCGGGTGGGGAAGTGCGGGTGGGGAAGTGCGGGTGGGGAAGTGCGGGTGGGGAAGTGCGGGTGGGGAAGTGCGGGTGGGGAAGTGCGGGTGGGGAAGTGCGGGTGGGGAAGTGCGGGTGGGGAAGTGCGGGTGGGGAAGTGCGGGTGGGGAAGTGCGGGTGGGGAAGTGCGGGTGGGAAGTGCGGGTGGGGAAGTGCGGGTGGGGAAGTGCGGGTGGGGAAGTGCGGGTGGGGAAGTGCGGGTGGGGAAGTGCGGGTGGGGAAGTGCGGGTGGGGAAGTGCGGGTGGGGAAGTGCGGGTGGGGAAGTGCGGGTGGGGAAGTGCGGGTGGGGAAGTGCGGGTGGGGAAGTGCGGGTGGGGAAGTGCGGGTGGGGAAGTGCGGGTGGGGACGAAGAAGGACGGAATGCACGCGGGGTGCCATGCAGGCGATGGAGCACATGGGGCAAGCGATGGAGCACATGGAGCAAGCGATGGAGCACATGGGGCAGCGGGCAACGGGGAGATGGGCCGACCATCGTACGATGGAGACCTCATCCATGGCAGGGGTTGTGAGAGGTGGGAAAAACAAAATCACTTGGCAGGAACGCATGCACGGACCATCTTCCTTCTCTTGCGCGATGGTGTCGTGGCCGCCTCCCAGATCTCGTCCATGCTCGCTCCAAACAACGCCGCCCGCGCCGACCCCCCTCCCCTTCCCCCATCGCTGCTGTCCTCGTCAGCCCCCTGTGTGCGGCAACGCCTGCATGGGAAGACACGGGCGAGGCAGGCACGCAGGGGGAATGAGGAATGAGGAATGGGGACGAGGAGAGCGGAGAGCGGAGAGCGGAGAGCGGAGAGCGGAGAGAGGACGAGTGCGCCGAGGGCACCGACGGAACGGGGGGATCACGGGAAGGGATGGAGTGCGAGGGGGGAGGATGTGAGGAGAAAAAGCGGAAGAGGTAAGGCAATTGGCGGTAATGGACCATAAGAGAAGAGAACGGCAAATCAACGCGGCCGGGAAGAAAGGGTGGGGCTGGGGGGGGGGGGGAGGGGAGTGCGAGGAAATAGAAGTGCAAGGGGAGAGAAACAAGGCGAAGGGGAAGGCTCAAGGAATGAAGTCATTGGCAGGAGCAGCTCCACTACCTTCCTCTCTTTGCCCGCTCCTCGCCCTCCTCTCCCCATCCTCCACCACCCCCCGTGTCCCCCTCGCCTCCTCCCCCTCGCCCCCACTGCGTGATTGCCTCAAGAGCCAGCGCTGGGTTGCGGTGGGCGGCAGAGAGGGAGGTGGCACCGGCACCAGCGGTCCATGCGTGCAGGGCGACGCCCTCACCCCCCTCCTCGCCGTCTCCCACACTACCATGCTTCCTTCCCCTTCCCCTTCCCCTTCCCCTTCCCCTCCCTCTCCCTCTCCCCCTCCCCCTCCCCATCCCTCTTCCCCTGCCTCTGTCTTTCCCCCGCCCCCTTCGTGGAAGATTCGCATCGTCCTGTTCGTCCCACCGCCCGTCCGTGTCCTCTTCCAGGCCACCCGCGTCACTCCCACCGCTCTCCCCCTTGCCCCTCCCTCTACCCCTGCCTCTCCCCCTCCCCCTACCCCTCCCTCTCCCCCCTTCCCGTGTGCCGCTTCTGCCCCTACCTTCACCCCTTCCCCTTCCCCTTCCCCTTCCCCTCCCCCTCCCCCTCCCCCTCCCCCTCTCCCGTCCCAGTCCCTCCCCATCACGGGGCAGCCTGTCATCCCCTGAAACGCCTCTTGCCGCTGCTTCCCTTCCCAACCCCGCCGCTCCCCCCGCTCTCTCCGCGCTCGCCTCTGCTCCCGCCTGTAAAGCGCCCCTCTCCTGCGTGCCTGACTCACCCCCTTGCACCTCCTCCCCTCGCCCCTCCCCCTCGTCCCCCGTGTCCCCGTGCGCGCTGCTCGTCTCCGGCGCCCAATCCGAATCCTCCTCCGAATCCCCCTCTTCCTCCTCCTCTTCCTCTTCCTCTTCCTCCTCCTCTTCCTCCTCCTCTGACTCTCTCCTCTCTCTCCTCATTTCCGCTCCCTCGCCCCTTTCGCTCGCACCCCCCTCTTCGCCCGCCTCCTCCTCCTCCTCGTCTTCCTCCTCGTCGGACTCGTACGCGATATTGTCAGCCTCGTCATCGATCACTTCCTCCATCTCCGCTACCTCCTCCAAATCCCCTTCCTCCATCGCCCTACCGCCCTCCTCCTCCTCCCCCTGTTGCTCATCCTCTTCTTCTTTCTCTCCCTCCAGGTCATCAATATGCCACGCGTCAAGCACTCCGGTATCGTCCCCGTCTTCGTCGATACGTGTGGGCCCCACACCCCCCATCGCACCTAAGCGCACTCCCCACTGTCTCAAGCTACCGTCGTTCGCATCGCAGGGCCCCCCCCCGGCCGCACTCATCGAGCGCACCGCCGGTGCGTGCGCCGCCGGTGGCAGCGGCGCCTCAGCGGTTGTCACGCGGGGCTTGAGCAATGGCCCTCAACGCTGGCTTGGCACGGCAGCGAAAAATGCTCAATGAGCAGGACGGGAACCGTACGCGGAAAGAGCTACCTCGTGAAGATACGATCGTTGGCATGGTTAAACACGGTAAACGTTGATGAGGACAATCCAGGGACGTGCTGAGAAAGGGCCCGTGTAGCCTAGATTCTGGTGGCAGACTTCACCGGCGCAATTCGAGCTGATAACTCTTACAGTACCATTGCCGATCTAAGAAGTGTGTTATGAATGGAAATGCCGAGTAGCGCGGAGGGCAATGGCGAAACTGTGAACGAGTGAATTACAATAAAATGAAAGACAACACAATGTATAGGAAACCTAGGGCGAACCTGGACGTAGGATCGGAAGGTTCGGGAAAAGTGTCAAAGGGCCTCGATGTGTCGAAGCGAGGTCCGGTAAGGCACAGGAGGCTCGAACTGAAAGGTCTGGAACCCTACCGATGGTTCGGGACTGTTCGAGTAGTACGCCTTGTAGCAAGCCTCAGTAAGGAATGACTAATTCCTTACACTCTCCCCCTTTCCAGATAAGCACACAGATAAAACAAACTACACACACTCTAACTGCATCTCGTCATAGTGAAGCCACCACTGATGAGAATCTCGAGCTTCTTCAGAGAAACTCCATCCAACGGTCGAAACACGTCAAAACGATCGCGATCTATCTTAGCCGTCGAATCTTGGTCAAATTACCCAGATAACCTAACGGGCAGTAGGAATACTACCGCACCACAGCTTCCTTGTCTCCAGCGAGTCCATCGCCGAGAATTACAACTCCCGTCGTCGTGCACAGTATCCGCACAGTAATATCAAAATTAGTGAAGTGTTATTGAGAGAGTGAGAGTACACACAGATATACCTAAGTCTTGTACCCTCTAAGAGGTGACCCTATACAGACTATACAAACATGACAAATACACATGTTTGACAAGTAATACTACAGCGGATGTGACATTTGTCAACTTATACATATTATCTATGTAGAAGTTACAGGCTAGACTGAGGTATGCTTCTAGTGAGTACAACCAACTAGTATTTGTTCTAGGTTTCCACCTCTAGTAATCATTCGTTTCTACGTTAACATGGTATCACGCTTAGGTTAGGATCCCCCCGCCTACCGCTTCCGCCCGTCGCGCCTCCTAGGCCCCGTCGCGCCCCCTAGGCCCCGTCGCGCCCCCCCTGGGCCCCGTCGCGCTCGTTAGGCCCCGTCGCGCCCCCCCTGGGCCCCGTCGTGCCCGCTGGGCCCCGTCGCGCCTCCTAGGCCCCGTCGCGCTCCCCCTGGGCCCCGTCGCGCCCGCTGGGTCCCGTCGCGAACCCTAGGCCCTAACGCGCCCCCGCTGGGCCCCGTTGCGCCTCCTAGGCCCCGTCGCGCCCCCCATGGGCCCCGTCGAGCCCGCTGAGCCCCGTCGTGCCTCCTAGGCATCGTCGCGCCTCCTAAGCCCCGTCGCGTCCCCCCCCTCTGGGCCCCGTCGCGCCCGTTCGGCCTCGTCGCGCCCCTCCTAGGCCCCGTCGCGCCCGCTGGGCCCCTTCGCGCTTCCTAGGCCCCGTCACGCCTGCTGGGCCCCGTCGCGCCCCCCCTGGGCCCTGTCGCGCCCGTTAGGCCCCGTCGCGCCCCCCCTGGGCCCCGTCGTGCCCGCTGGGCCCCGTCGCGCCCCTTAGGCCCCGTCGCGCCCACTGGCCCCTGTCGCGCCTGCTGTTAGCGCTCGCCCGCCTGGCCTCCTCCTAGTGCCGCTCGGCCTCCTCCTAGTGCCGCCCGACCTCCTCCTAGTGCCGCCCGGCCCCTTCCTAGCGCCGCCCGGCCTCCTCCTCGTGCCCGACCGGCCCCAGCAGCACCAGCCTGGCCCCTCCCAGCACCAGCCCGGCCCTAGAGCACCTGCCCGCCTCCCCTGCTCGGCCTGCCGTGTCCTCTCGGGCCCTGTGTCTTCTGCTTGCCTGCGCTGGGACGCCTAGCTGCTGCCCTACTGGAGAGTGCTGCCGCCGTGTCCCCGCGCCGCTGTGCTCCTGTGCCGCTGAGGAGCTGTGCTACTGTGCCGCTGTGTCGCTGAGGAGCTGTGCCGCTGACCCTGCACGATGGCTGACTTTGTGCTCCGCCTGGACGCTGAGGGCCACGCGGTTGACTTCGCCGCCTGGCTCTCCGATCTTCGCCGCCAGCTTACAGGTCAGCGCCAGGATGGCCACTCTCTGGTTGTCCATGCTGATGGCTTGCTCCCCCGTCCCCCTGCACCTACTCCCCTCCCTGCTGACCCCTCCTCTGATGACCGTGAGGCTTTCTCTACTGCTGCGCTGGCCTGTGCGGTCTGGGACTCACGCGATGCAGTAGCTCAGGTTGCTATTAGTCACGCCCTCCCTGTGTCTGAGCGCTCGCGTTTTGCTACTGTTGAAACGGCCAAAGCTTATTTAGACGCCGTTATTGCTCGCTATTCCACCCCTGCCTCCGCTTCTGCTGGCCGCTTGCTCTTTCCGATGCTGTTCCCAGACCTGGCTGCCTTCCCTACTGTCGCAGATTTTGCCACTCATTTGCGTGCCCTAGAGACTCGCTATCGCACTGCCAGCACTGCTGCCCAGCTCACTGCGCTCCCCCCTCCTTTCTGCATGACGCTCTATTTTATCGCTATGCGCCTGCCAGACCGCCTCGCTAGTGCTCGCGACCACTTTCTTAGCCAGCACCCGGGTGACCTCACCCTGACCGCCTTTGTCGACACCCTCACTGAGATCGAGACTCGCCAGCGCACTATCGCTCAGTCGAGCGGTGCGCCGGCAGTCTCTATCTTTCACGGCTGTGCCCCATCCCAGTGCACGTTCACTGACGTTTCGGCTGCGGTCGCCACGGCGACCCCTCTTACCGAGACGGCTGCTGCTGTCCACCCGCAGCAGCGCTCGCGTCGCGGTGGCCATGGCCGCCAGGGAGGTAGGGGTGGTGACGCAGGTGGTAGTGGTCGTGGTGGTGGTGACGGTAGTCCGCCTGAGGGGACTACCACCGGTGGGCAGGAGCAGCAGCCCCAGCAGCAGCAGGACCAGCCCCAGCCGCAGCCGCCGTCCCAGCAGCACCCGCCGCAGCCGTGGGCTCGTCTCCCGCCTGGTTGGCCCGGCACCTCCGGAGGCGGTGGCCGTGGTGGCGGCCCGCGCAGCTTGGCGTCTTCCAGCGGCTCCTGTGCTGTGACCTGCCAGTACCAGCTTCAGACCGGGCCTCTCCGCGGCACTCTGTGCCGCCGCCCGCACCCGACCGCCCGCTGTTTCCGCCGCCTCGACGATCTTTTTCGTCGTCGCTTTGGCCCGGCCCCGGACCTCCCTGACTGGCACAGCCTGCTCCGCCAGGGCGTGCCGATCTTTGAGTTAGACATGGATCAGATAGGTGCTGCTTTGCATGCTTTGTATGCTGACGCTTCTAGTGTTGCTGGATCTTACTACCCTGTGTACTCTAGTTTAGGTGTTTCACCCTTGTGTAGCTTAGCTTCCCCTGCTGCGACAGGCGTAGGACTGCCTAGGTTGCCTAGTCTAGTCGCTGCACCGGCTCCGTCCCCGGCCTCCGCCACTGCGTCGCTGTCCTTCACTCTCGACTCTGGTGCTTCTGCCTGCTTCTTCCGCGACCGTTCCACGCTCACGCCGCTTGCGGCACCTGCTGTTGTCTCTCTCGCTGACCCCTCTGCGGGTCCGGTCGTCGCGCGCAGTTCTACGTCCCTTCCCTGTCCGGCAGTTCCCTCGGGCTCCCTTACAGGCCTCCACGTTCCCTCGTTCTCCAGGAACCTGGTTGGTGTCGGCTGTCTCCAGGACCTCGGCGTCACCACCACGTTCCCCGGGCACGAGCGGTTCGCTGTCTGTTCTGAGGCTGTCTCAGGTTCCCCCCTTGCGACGTTCCCCCGGGACCCGGTGTCCGGTCTGTTTACCCTACACACCGCTTCCCCCCCGGTTGGTGCGTCCTCCCAGGTCGCTGCAGCTTGCTCGTGTCGGTCCCTCACTCACCCGTCCCTTCTCTGGCACCACCGCTTAGGTCACCCTGCTCTCCCGCGTCTGCGTCACATGTCCCAGCACGGTCTTGTCTTAGGTCTCCCCGCGTCGCTCCCTGCCCTTCCTCCCTCGACTGCGCCACCGTGCACGCCTTGCGTCGAGGGTCGGCTCCGCCGTGCTCCTCACTCCTCCTCGCTGCGTCCTGCTACTGCCCCCCTTCAGACCCTGCACTTGGACGTTTGGGGCCCTGCCCCCGTCCCCGGACCGCGCGGTGAGCGCTACTTCCTTGTGCTCGTCGACGACTACACGCGCTACACCACGGTGTTTCCCCTGGAGCGGAAGGCCGACGTGCCCGACGTTCTTCTCCCGTGGGTTGTGGCTGCGCGTCTCCACCGCGGTCTCCCCGTGTTGTGTCTCCACTCCGACCGTGGCGGCGAGTTCGCCTCTGGTCGGCTTGGACAGTTCTGTCGTGCGGAGGGCATCACCCAGTCGTACACATTGCCGGACTCGCCACAGCAGAATGGGGTTGCTGAGCGCCGCATCGGCTTGGTCATGGAGGTCGCCCGTACCTCCATGATCCATGCCGATGCCCCCCATTTTCTGTGGCCGTTCGCTGTTCGCTACGCGGCTCACCAGCTTAACCTGTGGCCACGCTCCCAGCGGCCGCATGTTTCGCCGACCCTCCTTTGGACCGGGTCCCCCGGTGACGCGTCTGCGTTCCACGTCTGGGGCTGCCTTGCTCACGTTCGTGCCTCTGGCACGGACAAGCTCACTGCCCGCACTGTCCCCTGTGTCTTCCTCGGTTTCCCCCTGGACTCGTCTGACTGGCTTTTCTACCACCCGCCGTCTCACCGCTTCCTCCACTCTCGTGACGTCACCTTTGACGAGTCCGTCTCCTTCTACCGCCGCTTCCCTCACCGAGGTCTCCCAGTTGCCCCCCCCCTTTTCCTTGCTCCCTCTCCCCCGGTAGCCCCTGCCTCTCTCCCGCCTCGTCCTGCCCTGTCTGGTGTCTCCCACGTCACTCCCCTCCCGTCGGTTGTCCCCGTTGAGGAGTCTGCTGACTCTGGTGGTACCCCCGGTCCGTCCTTGCCGCGTCCCCCTTCCCCGGTGCCTCCGCCCCCACTGTCGCAGTCGCCGACCCCGCTGCCGCCGCCGTCGCCGTCGCCGCCGCAGCCGTCGCCGCTGTCGTCGCCGCCGCCGCCGCTGTCGCTGCCGCAGCCGTCGCCGCTGTCGCCGCCGCCGCAGCCGTTGCCGCCACTGCCGCCGCTGCTCTCGGCCCCTGGGGGTGCTGGTGTGGAGGAGGGTGTTCGTCCTGCGGCTTCTGGGGGTGCCGCTGGTGTTGGAGGGGGTTCTCGCTCTGGGGGTGTTGGTTCTGGGGGTGCTGCTGTTGAGTGTTCTGCCGACGGTCGTTCTGCCTCTGCTGGTCCGAGAGTTCCGGCCCAGCCGTCGTCGCCGCCGCAGCAGCCGTCGCCGCCGGTTTCCGCTCTCCGCCTGCTCGGCCTTCCCTCCCCGGACCGCGCGCCGGTGTCTCCCCCACCGCCTCCTGACCTCCCTGTCTACGGTCCTGTGTTCCCGCCGCCAGACTCGTCTCCGGCCCGTCTTCCTCCTCGTTCCCCTCCTGTGTCTCCTCCGCTGTCCCCTGACCCTACCCCTCCGTCTCACGTTTGGGCTCGCCGTCCCTCCCGTGCTCGTCCCGTCTCTCTTGTCCTGCCCACCCACCCTATGTTGCTCCGTTCCCACTCGTCTCGTCCTCCCCTCCTCCCGTCCCCTCCTCCCTCGTCCCTTGCTGTTGCACCTCCTCCGTTCTCTGACTACCTCCGTGCTGCTCGTCCCCTTGTCCCTCGGGTCCTTGCCTCTCTTGTTACCGGCCCTGCTGTTCCTGTCTCGCGCCTTGACGCGCTTGTCGCTGCTGTCGCTGACTTCGCTTCTACCCGCCGCCTTGACTACGCTACCGCTCTGGTCTCTGACCCTGCCCGTCCTCTGTCCGTCGGGGGTGCTCCTGCCCTTGGCAGTGACATCCTAGAGGACAGGCAGTACGAGCTGGCTTTCCTTTCCGAGGCTGCTCCCCATCTCTGCTCCATGCTGTTAGTCCCTGAGGGTGACCCAGACGCCTTCGACATCCCGACCCCTCGCACCTACGCTGAGGCCACCTCGGGACCTTGGGCCTCTCAGTGGATAGCTGCCATGGAGCAGGAGATGGCATCTTGGAGATCCACCGGCACTTACGTCGACGCAGTTCCCCCGCCTGGGGTGAACGTAGTCGATGGTCGGTGGCTCTTCAAGGTGAAGCGCCCCCCTGGAGAGCCGCCTGTCTTCAAGGCGCGCTACGTGGCCAGAGGTTTCAGTCAGCGCGAGGGGGTTGACTTCTTCCAGACCTTCGCCCCGACCCCGAAGATGACCACTCTTCGGGCGCTGCTACACGTAGCAGCACAGCGTGACTACGAGCTTCACTCCCTCGACTTCTCTACTGCCTTTCTTCAGGGCAGCCTACACGAGCAGGTCTACCTGCGCCGACCACAGGGCTTCACTGGTACCTTCCCTCCTGGGACCCAGTGGCTTCTCAGGCGCCCGGTCTACGGCCTGCGTCAGGCTCCCCGCGAGTGGCACGACACGCTACGTGCCACGTTAGCAGACCTGCAGTTCTTTCCGTCCTCTGCTGACCCTTCACTGTTTGTGCGTTCCGGCCAGACTCCGTTCTACATCCTTGTCTACGTAGACGACCTGGTCTTCGCTACTCCTGACAGGGACGCACTGGCCTCTGTGAAGGCTGAGCTGCTGAAGAGACACACCTGCACTGACCTTGGAGAGCTGCGTCGCTATCTTGGCCTGCAGATCTCTAGGGACAGAGCAGCACGCACCATCACTCTGACCCAGTCACACTTGGTGCGTCAGGTCCTTCAGAGGTTCGGTCTTCAGTTCTCCTCCGCACAGCCCACACCTCTACCCGTAGACCATGGGCTCTCTGCTCCCGTTCCTGAGGAGCCAGTAGAGCCCAGTGGCCCCTACGCAGAGCTGGTGGGTTGCCTCATGTACCTGATGACTTGCACTCGCCCAGATCTCGCATACCCTCTCAGCATCTTGGCTCGCTTTGTGGCTACAGGCAGACACCGACCTCAGCACTGGTCTGCCGCTAAGAGGGTTTTGCGTTATCTTGCTAGTACATCAGGCATGGGGTTAGTGCTAGGAGGACGCAGGCCAGTGGTCCTTACTGGACACACAGACGCTTCTTGGGCAGACGACGCTGAGACGCTCAGGTCGTCGCAGGGCTACTGTTTCAGCCTTGGTTCGGGTGCTATCTCTTGGAGATCCACTCGCTCGTCGTCTGTGGCTCAGTCTAGCTGTGAGGCTGAGATCTACGCTGGTGCCATGGCGGCACAGGAGCTCCGCTGGCTGACCTTCTTGCTCACAGACTTAGGTGAGCGGCCTAGCTCTGCCCCGGTCCTGTACGCTGACAACAGGGCCATGATACTCCTGTGTCAGGAGCCTCGGCTTGAGGGCAGAGCGAAGCATATCCAGCTGCGGTACTTCCTCCTGCGCGAGCTACAGCAGCGCCGCCAGGCCCGCGTAGTTCACTTGGCCTCAGGTGCCAACACAGCTGATATCTTTACTAAGGCGCTTGCGCCTAAAGATCATCAGCGGCACTGTGTACAGCTTGGTCTTGTTCCTATAGCTGCTCCCCTGTTAGGATCCTGATTGTGTACTCTCTATTATATATGCTTGTCAGACTGGCCTTGTGGCCTTACCTCCAGTGGCTGGACTAGTAGTGCCACCCTGGCTTGCTTCAGTTTTGGTTGTATTCTTGCTGACTGGTCTCCAGACCCCTGCCTCAGTGGTTGGACTAGTAGTGCCGCCCTGAGCTGTTTGCTTCTTGTTTAGTTTCACCCCTTGTCTAGCCTAGGGGGTGTGTCAACTTATACATATTATCTATGTAGAAGTTACAGGCTAGACTGAGGTATGCTTCTAGTGAGTACAACCAACTAGTATTTGTTCTAGGTTTCCACCTCTAGTAATCATTCGTTTCTACGTTAACAACATTAAGTTCTTGACATTTTTGCCCACTATACTATCCAACCGTCCATAATTAGGTAGGATCCAGCACGTATACACCTGTTTCAAAATACAGGCACGCATTTTTTTTGCGCGGTGCGTGCATGTATTCTCCGGCCAAAACACCGGGCAAAAAGGGCTTGTACACTTCGGGGGCGGGAGTAGCCGGATTGTAGTCATTAAATGCGGACGGCCTATGTGCGTCCGTTTTGGTAACCGGCGCGAGAAACTTCTGACCCGCATGAAACGGGTCATGTTACAACAACAACAACATTGCACTACGTTTATGACACAACATATACAAAATTACAACACTTAGTTTACAACAGTGGAATGTATTTCCAGAGATGACACCATGTTCCAACTCCTGCCCAAGTCCACATTTTCAGCCTTCCCATTTCAACCATATCCACGGTGCCGTGCTCCCCAAACTCCCGTAGTACCCAACGACACTCTCTGCCGCTGTCTCTCCACCCGCAATCTTCCAGCGCGTCCGCTTTACCAGCCGCGCAATCTCTCCGCCCGCTCGCCTTCCGCCGGCCGTTGTCCGTCTCTTCCCCATCCCCGCTGCTCCCCGCGCCACCGCCGCCTTGCATGGTAACCACGCCGCGGGGGCTTGGCACCCCCGGGCTCGGCGTGCCAGACGGACTGCCGCCACACTCCAATTTTCGTTGCCGGTTGGCGGCTAAGCTTGCCGGCAGGTGCAGCAGGTCTCCTTCGGCCGGCGGGATGGGCGACGGGCGCCCATCGAGTAAAGAACCTTCGAGGTGAGAGGTAGAAACACACGCTCTGCTGCTAGTGCCGCAAGCGCCGCCTCAGCTTTATTCGCTTTGAACGCATTCGCAGGCTGTAACACCGCGGCTTCGAATGGACCTTCGGTGGGAGTCGGTTCGACCAGGTCCGACAGCAACGCCAGCCACTCGATCACTTTGCGGTGCTGCAGAAGCTGCTGACGTGGCCACTTTGACGTCAGCCCGCTGCTGCGGCTGCTGCCATGAGGCGGCTGATGCTGCGTCGCCTGCATCAGCAGCAGCAGCGCTTCCTGAGACGCGGCGACGGCGCGACACCGCTCGCTGGCACCGGCCCTACCAACCCTGCTAGGCCCGCAGAGTTCTCGAAATAAGAGGAGTCGCCGTGACGGTTGGAGTGACGGGTGTCGCCGAGTCCTCGCGCAGAGGTGAGGGCGGCAGAGTTGGACAGGTGGAGTTGCGACTGAAGTTGCCACGTGTGCCGCCTCCACAGATCTCCCACCTCGTTGTCGTTCTCGTTCTCGTCCGACCCGCGGTCTTCCTCGTCGCTCCTCGACTCCCGCGGCGAGTTCCTAGCGCCGCAACCGTCGGCGGCGCATTGACGAGTAACGATAACGAGTAAAGAGCGGGCAAATATGTTGTCAGTTGGGCGAAAGCGGAGATGGATGGGGTAACAGTGTGTGGCTGGAGGTTGTTCGGATAGACGTGGCTCATACCCACGCATTTGAAGTTCGTAGAACACGCCTGCTAACTGCGCTGGCGTACGCTGACGTGTTCATTGGTGATGCATTCGAACATCAGAATCTGTTCTTGCTAGAAACTTCTTTGTTTATGTGGCGTGTTAAAGGCTCGTTGGCTGACGAAAAGCCTTCTAGTGACTTCGCTAGGACGTTGTTTTTCGCTAATGTAATCTTCTGAACGAATCCTATAGGTTGCTGTAAAATCTGTGCGCTATCTTGTACAGTACACTCTTGTGGGTCGTTTCATGTGGAACAGCGATTGTGCATATACACTAGGGGATAAGAGCAGGGTGTATTCGTCAATGGGTCCTTAACCGCGATTGGGCGAGTAGCACGGATGTCTGTAGGCGGGATCATGTGTACTCCAACTGTACGGAGTACAACTACTGTAGTGCATGCGGTGAACGTCGCAAAATATCCCGTCTGCCAATGAAATTTCGTGTTGTTACCCTCTGTAGAAATTTTCGCAACTCCATCTGACCGGTGTGTCGTGCAGACGTTCACCCATCGCGCGGTTACGGCAGGTACCCCAGAAAAACTCGGGTACAGTTCTCAGCTACGAAAAACACATTTTCTACAATTTCACCGACTAACCATGCTGGTATTTAAACCATCGCAGAGCTCGGTAGGTAACCGTGACCCCAGTTGCCGCTCCAGCTAAAAACTTGCAGAATTCCCACCTGGAAAATACCCGACGTTTTAGCGATGCGCCGACATTCACCCATCATTGCGCCCGTCCAGGTAATCCCCGAATGAGTCCTCGTAGCCGAATCTTCGATTATAGTCCCGCAACTCATGAATAATCCTTGAAGACTCCAGCGTGACTCCAATTTTTCCGTGACGGCAACACGCTTCTCCCATTGCAATAGTAACCCTTGTCTTCCCGAAGCTCCATTTGATGAATACACTCTAGATCTGGGGGGAATCCACCGTGTTCTCATACTCAAGTAAGCGCAAACGCTATCAAAGTTGGGCGAATTAATCAGCATACTTCGTGGGCAATCGCTTTGAATCTTACATGAGGGATTCTCCTACCCCTCCATGAAAAAGTCGTCTCTGCAAAAATCTCCTCCAAATTGCTGCAATATTTCTTCAACTGCCGCCTTACGATAAAGCCCCCGCAGGCCGCTGTTCACCCAGCACCCACATTTGTCGTTCTCCCAACAGTACCGTGCACGTTCTTTCGAAAAGCTTGCAAATCCGTCGATCTCAGCGACAAATCCTCGCCGTTCGTATCGGACTCTAGCTCCGCGAACTAACCGATCGCCGTCGCAAAAATCCTTCACTTTTTTTTTTCACCAATCGTTCGCTGTCGTGTAGGGCAGAAAACATTTCTTCGTCGTTCCACCAGCACTGGGTGATCCGCAAGCTCATCCTCCTTTATTCGTCCGGGAGCGGTCGATAGCATGTATCTTACTACCACCCAGTGGAGATGCTGAAAATCGGGCGACCCAGCCAAGCCAACCGGGGGATCTGTCTGCCGCTGACTCTTAACCAGCTGTATAGAATCTGCAAACACAAACACTTGGAAAGCCTCAAGTGTTTCGCCTAGGATCTTTACAAGAATGGTAGACTAGTAAGACAGCGGAAGTCCTATAAAAGTGAACCTGAGTATATAGTTCTGTGGAAGTCAAGTCTTAAAGTCCCAAAATTGAAATCTCAAGGTTAATAATAGAAAGGCATAACAAGGATTTATAGCTCTAGGAAAGTACATATTCGCTAATGTACCTGTTCGTCACTATCGCGCTATGCGCCCTAAATGACAATGAAGAGATGCGACTGTTCGCATGACTGAAACGACTGTCCTCATGACGAGCGCTATTTGCTGACGTCATCCTACGGACTTCTCTTCTACAGTAGGATTCGACACTATCTACCGATAATCGACTTACAGAAATGCTAAGTATGAATCATATCACAACACTCCCCTTCATTTCTGAAAGTCCGATAGTGTCACTTCTTGAAGACCCCGCAAAGCTTGTTACAGTATTGAAACTTCTGTCGTGTCAGCTTCTTCGTGAGGAAGTCGGCAGCCATTTCGTTGGTCAAACAATAGACCAATCGCATCCTCCCCTTCTCGACCTCATCCTTGACGAAAAAGTAACGCAGTGAAATATGTTTCGTCCTGTTGACGAAGCCAGGCTGGTGCGCGATGCGAATTGCACTTTGGTTGTCGCACTGCAGAGTAAATTGAGTACCCGTCGTCAACTTCACTTCTTCCAATAGTTCCTGTAGGTAAAGTCCTTCGCGTGTTGCTGTGCAGACAGCGATAAATTCAGCTTCAGCAGAGGAGAGAGCAATCAGCTCCTGCTTCGTCGAATTCTAATAAATAGGCCCGATAGGTTCAAGGCGGTAGATAAATCCAGTACGCGATCGTCGATTAGTAGAGTCAGCAGCGTGATCGGCGTCGACGAAACCGTGTAGATACAGTGTTTTACAACCGACGACGTTGTAGACTAAACCAACGTCATGTGTCGATATAAAATACTGAAGCGCGCGGAGAAGTTCGAGTTGATGCTCCTCTTCAGGACGGCGTAGGAACTGAGCGAGTTGACTAGCAGCGTAGGCTAGATCTGAACCGCAAGTAACAGTGGCGAAGAGTAAACAGCCTAACTGCTGTTGATAAACCTGTAAACCGGTTAAACTCAATGGTGCAGTATTCGGTTTGTGATCTGTCAGTAGTGAGCGGTATGGTGTAGAGACTGCAGTAGGAGTAAGGTTGAAGCGAGCAACGAGTGTGGCTGCGTACTTCGAAGCAGTGAGGTGAATAGACGTCGGTTAACAGGTAATGTTTAGACCGAGAAACTGTGAGACTGTTTCGGAGACGGTAAGCTGTAGAATTTTCTGTAGTTTCAGTATAAAAGTATCGGCGAGTGAATCGGTAGTGCTGACGTAGAGAATGTCGTCGACGTAGGCAACGAGTCAAATATCGTTGCTGCCGTCAGAAAGAAGATACATCCCTTGATCATGCGATAGTTGTCGAAATCCAGCAGTGATAAGTTGTGAGTGAAGATACTGCTGCCAGAGCTGGGGTGCTTGTTTAATGCCGTAAAGTGACTTTCTGAGACGGCATACGCTAGGTGGGTTTGTAGTATACGAGTGTGGGTACTCTACCAGAATGAGTGCATCGACAGGTGCATAGAGAAAGGCGTTTGACACGTCAATTTGTCGAAGTCATAGATTACGGCAGGCGGCGACACAGAGCAGAATTTGAACGCTTGTATGTCGACCAACGGGAGCAAAAGTCAGCTCGTAGTCAATGTCGTAAGTCTGCTCGAATCCGTGAACAACCCATCGCGCCTTGAACTTCTCAAACGATCCATCTGCATTAGTCTTGACACGGAAGACCCATTTTCCGGTGAGTACCTTTCTTCCCTTTACTTCTGATGTCGGTATTAACTCCCATGTGCCACAACTCTTGAGAGCTGCTAGCTCCCTGTCCATGGCTTCGCGCCATTTTTCGTGGTGAGGACTCGTAAGAGCTTGTAGAACGGTTTTCGGTTCAGGTATTTTACTGTCGTTGTACTGTGTTGCGACTGCGAATCCAAGTATCTGTAAGCCGGTTTCTGTAAAACACGGACGTTCTTCGTTTGCACCTGCGAAATCTTTTTCTCCTCCTTCCCCCCCAATTTCGTCAGGTGTAACACGAACTGCTTCGTCGGAGATGACGGGCATCGGCTGCTGTTGTCGATCGCGTTCGTAACTGAGGTGGACTTCGCGAACATCATCCGGATCAGCATCTGCGAAAGGAATAAGTTCCGGGACGCCAGTCGACGTAACAGGTTCGGGAATATCCGTTGCGGCAGCTTCGAAGGCTTCAGACACTGCTTCGTCCTGTACATCAGCTTCGGCTTCGTCAGTTGCAAAGGCACGCGAGCCTTCAAACAGCGTGGCAGGGTTGGCAGTTGCTGCCTGGTGGGCACGAAAAACTGGCAAGGTGAGTCTTTCATAGAAGAGACAATCACGTGAAGGGACGATTTTGTTGGAGCGAAGATCCAAAAGTTTTCGTGCATGATACTGTTTTTCGATGCCGAGGTGTACCCCCCATTTTGCCCGTTCTGAAAAATTGCGGAGTGCTGCAGTTGGAGGACGAAACTGTACAACACACCCAAAAACTCGTAAAAGTTTGGTACTTCCCACTGTTCGTGTCCACTGCAGGTGCGGAGAAGAAAACTCGAGGAGTGCCGTGGAAGATAGCAGGTTGTGTAACAGCACGGCATGGTCCATCGCATACGGCCAAAAGCGAGGAGGAAGAGCTGCCTGCGTCAGCAGGGCACGCATCTTCTCCTGCAGAGTTTGATTCATCCTTTTTGCTACCCCCATCTGTTGGTGTACATGCGGCAGTGACTGCTTCCGTTTGATGCCGCGGGTTTGGAGGTAGTCGGTGAAGGTGGTGCTCGTGTATTCCCCTGCGCCATCACTCTAGAATTCTTGCAGCTTCACGCCAGACTCTTGTTAAGTGACAGGGTGCCATGCGACGAAGACGGAATGAGCGAGATAACGCGCAAGAAGGTTTGCTGTCCAAACGTAGTGTGTAGATGCTTCGATGAACGTAATCACATACTGCTCCTCTTTAGGTCCTGCTTCACGTAAATTGAGTATGTCGCTGTAGACTTTCTGCATTATTTTATAACGTTTTGAGCCAGGAAAATGACTCGGAAACGGATCGTGGGTAAGGTTGGCGACTAGACACGTGGTGCAAATCGTCGGACGAGACTGCGGCTTCATCTCCGTGCCGTCATGTAAAAGTAGACTGTTTTTATCAAGAACTGCTGCGCGGATTGAATGATTTATAATCCATTGCGACGGATGCCCTAACCGTTGATGCCAAATTTCCTCTGTGGCTTTGGGTTCTGATGATCGTAGGTAAAAGTCGGCGTTAGTATAAAACGAAGAAATGAGAAAAGGAGAAATAGCTGGCGACATGTCAATCTCCCCTTCGACGAAACGGGTTAGCGGTAACTGAACGTTTGAGGTTTCTGCTGCAGTTGCGATTGCAACATCTGATGCTGCTTCTGTTGATGTGTGAGCAGACGGGCCGACAACGGCTACTGGAAGACTCGGCTGCTCGGTGAATGCTGCTTTCACTGTTTCTTCAACGACGGCGGGTTCATCAGCGGCACGCCCGCTAATTTCGCCCCAAAGTGGAGCTGGAGTTCCTTGGAAGGCCGCACGGGTATTATAAAACGTTCGCCACGCGGTGGCGCTTTCATCGGCGGTATTGAACTCCCAAGTATCCAGTGCGGTAAGAACGGCTGCTGCAGTTCGAGAAGCTGTTGGTACAGTAGTTGCTCGAAAATCAATATCCACGTGTTGATAATCTGTTTCTTTGGGGTGATCCCAGAGACCAAGTGGAAGGACGCGTTCAGACTCACCAGAAGTGCCTTGTGCTGTGAACTGAAGAACTGACACGCCATGTTGAGTAGCAGCACGACCGAGGTAAGTATTTGTTAAGCTGTGCCATAACTCTTGATACATTGTGTCGCAGTTCCCTAGTGTGTAAATTTTGTGTGCCAGGAGTTGAGCTGTGGAGAGAAGGTTGAAGCCAAGTCCGGCAACGATAAGAACGTTGGTAACGTGTAATGAATATCCCGTGTCGACTGATTCAAGCATGACACTCCCAACAGATCTTGCCATAATAGTTTGTCCGTTTGCGACTGTGACAGGTATTGGGCGACGAAGCGGACGCTGGTTGGTGATGAAGCTTGTTTCAGCGGAGCACATGTGCCAACTACAACAGCTGTCGAGATACCAAGTATTGGGTCCTTAAATGACTCGAGCAAGGTTAGCATAAACTTGAGGTAAGGGAATGCCTTCAGCACTTGTGGTTTCTTCAAGTCGTGTCTCGAAATCAGTTTCAGAAACATCAACTGTTGTAACACATCCGATAACCACTTTTCCTGATGTTGCAGATACAAAGACCGGAGGTCGATGCTGTGGCGACGATGTATTATGCGGTGGTTTTGGCATCTGCTGCGCCTGAGACGTCGACTGCTGCGGTGGTGGATGTGACTTCGGTAATTGCTGCGAACGATGATATGGCTGTGAAGTACTGCGTCAATTTTGATGGCGGCTGCGACAAGTTTGGTAAGTATGTCCTGGTTTCTTGCAGAAATGGCAGAAGGGATATTTCGGGGGAAGACGTTGCTGCGGCTCTGGATTTGAGTAAAAACTCAAGTGTATCCTCTTTTTCTAGTTGCGTTGTGACTGCAGATCAAGATCTTGCTGTTCCGCTTGAAGATACGACAAAATTTCAGCTTCGGAGAGGTTTGGGTTCATGCGCAGAAAGGCGCGCGTCTGTCGCCATTCGGGTCCAAGGCCAGCAAGAAGGACCGTGAGATACATCTCACGAGGGAAGTATCCCCCACTCTTCTCCTGTTGATCTCGTAGTGTACGGACGTGGTTGACGTAGTCCATGACATTTTCGTTTGTCATCATCTGCACACTTGTTAACTGCGAAAGTATCTTACTCACTGTTATTGTATCTTTTGCTATGTATACCCCCTTCAAGTGGTTCCATGCAGTTTCAGCTGGTGTAAAGCTTGAATGAAACGATCGGACGCCGAGCTGCTCCTTCGGCGACAGGTTCCGAACAAGAACCGTATACGCCCCGAGAGAGGCGTGCAAGAAACTCTGCTGCTCCAGTTGTGTTCCCGTAACAGGATACGTAAACTCGCCAGTGAAGAACGGCCATAGCCCAGCGGACTGCGCAAGAAGCTCAAACTAAAAGCTCAAGGAGTAAAAATCTACTCCGTTAAAAGGTATGGTGGTCTTGATCTGTGTACTGTTAAGCAAATTTGGCGGTTGAAAAATAATACCCGGTTGTTGAGGCTATTGTCGTTGTGAAGGTACTAGGACGCCATGACTATGGCGGCGGGGTTTAGCTAGGAGGAAGGAGAGGAGAATGTCGAGAGAAAAGGTGCATCAACTAGAAGAGAAACAGGTACAAGAAGGGGAGTTATCCCCTCTACAGTAGGATGCAGTAGCACAACTACCAAGCCTATAATTATATAAAATATAATTTGAACACACCCCCTAGGCTTGGTAGTGGCAAGCCCACTCAACCCACACACACACCCCCTAACCCCGGACCCCCTCATTCTCGTGAGCAGCCAGGTATCGACCCCTCATGCTAGGCGATGACACCCCCGGACGAGAGGCAGTTGGCCGCATCTGGGCGGCCTCAATGACGACAGCGGCGGAGTTCGTGCTCAAGGCGGCTACGGTGATGAGGACAGGCGGCGATTGCGGCGGCTGAGGGCTCTCGGCGGTGTGGCACGGCCTGGCGATGACCGAGCCGATGACAGCAGTTGCGGCAGGAGGGAGAGGGGACGCAAGGAGAAGGGGTGGTGTAGAGGAGAGGGCGCTGGCTGGCGTGTGGGCGGCGGCAGCGTCACCGACGTCGCACGGTCGGCTGCAGCCCGACGGCGCCGTCCACGAGCGGCGTCGATGCTGCACGACGTGACGTCGATGCGGCATGACGTCGACGCCGCGAGGTCAGTACGGCGGCGCTGTCATGCCGCGACGGCCCGACGTCGACGGCGTCGCCACCAAGAGGCCGCCGCGGCATCTCAGGGAAGGTGCCACGGCGGCAGGCAATCTGAAGGTTGCGAAGGCGGCGAAGTACCAGAGAATCCGCAGCGGAAGAGTAGTGTTAGCCTATGATCTTTACTGGAATTGTAGACTAGCAAGACAGCGGAAGTCTTGTAATAGTGAACCTGAGTATATAGTTCTGTGGAATTCAAGTCTTAAAGTCTCAAAATTGAAATCTCAAGGTTAATAATAGAAAGACATAACAAGGATTTATAGCTCTAGGAAAGTACATATTCGCTAATGTATCTGTTCGTCACTATCGCGCTATGCGCCCTAAATGACAATGAAGAGATGCGACTGTTCGCGTGACTGAAACGACTGTCCTCATGACGAGCGCTATTTGCTGACGTCATCCTACGGACTTCTCTTCTACAGTAGGACTCGACACTATCTACCGATAATCGACTTACAGAAATGCGAAGTATGAATTATACGACAACATGAATGACGATATAATGAAAGACAATTCAATATATCGGAAACCTAAGGCGATCCTAGACGTAGGGTCGGAAGGTTCAGGAAAAGTGTCAAAGGTCCTCGATGTATCGAAGCGAGGTCCGGAAAGGCCCAGGAGGCTCGAACGGAAAGGTCTGGAACCCTATCGCTGGTTCAGGACTGTTCGAGTAGTACGCCCTGTAGCTAGCCTCAGTAAGGAATTTATAATTTCTTACAAAGTGCCCTTTGAAGTAACTCCAAAAAACTATTGTTTCGTCCAACAAAGCCAACGTAAATCAAGGACGTAAACAAGGTTGGCATAAACTGCCCGCTTGGATGTCTGTTCCCTTATGCTACGGTTGGTGGTGGGTCGTGAGAGGGCAGCTGCACCCACACGAACTCCTCCACATACCCCACACTCTGCTCCGCCGCTGCTGCTTCCCTGCTGCTATCTGGTGCCTTCTCAATTCCCCGTGCCTCTGCTGTCTCTTCTGGTCCTGGTTTTGCACCACTTGGGATGGCGGTGTTGCTTTGCGGTGCGGTGCTGGGTGGTTGAGAGCGGCAGCAGGAGTTGGGGCACACGTAGAGCGCCAGTGTGGCGAAGTCAAGTGCTGAGTCAGCGGTGGCGTCTGGAGCGCTGTAGTAGATGATTTGAGGAAGAACCTGGAGAAGGGGGGGGGGAGAGGGAGGTGGGGAAGGAAGTATGATGGGCACCTAGGTGGGCACCTGGAATCGCGGCAGCCGCATGGCAGCGCTGCTGCAGATGATCTGCGGGAGCAGGTGAGGGGAGGGAGGCATGCTGCGCGAGAAGGAGAGGGAGGTGGAGAGGAGATTGGTAGTTGGAGAGGAGGATTGGGAGAGCGTACATGGGAGAAGGGAGAGCAAGGAAGGGGGAACGGGTTGAAGCAAGAGTGGCAGGCAGAACATGGCGGTGCGGAATGCAGCGAGGTGAAGGAGCACAGATCCTTGGACATCTTCCAGTGAGCGCACGTGTCAGATAGAGGGCTGTGGGTGAGCGCACGTGTCAGATAGAGGGCTGTGGGTGAGCGCACGTGTCAGATAGAGGGCTGTGGGTATGCGCACGTGTCAGATAGAGGGCTGTGGGTGAGCGCAGGCGTTGGGGGAGAGAGCCGGAGAGGGCATGGCAGGGGGCGCTTGTAGAGAAGCGGAGAGAGCACGTGGAATGCTTGTGGATCACATGCCACCTGATGATTCACCTGATGATCCACCAGATATTCCTGCACCTCAGCACATCTGGCAGTCCACCTGCCACCGCACCTGGAACTCAAAGATCCTCTCGGCCCCACAGCGCCCACACGGCGGGATGGCAGCCTGGCTGGGCGGCTGCCCCTGCAGCTGCGGCCACAGCGGGCGGGCGGTGGCTGACCGGCAGTACCTGGGGGAGGGGAGAGCAAGTGAGAGGCGGGGGGGGGAGGAACAGTGCGGGGGAGAGAGGAGAGGCACGGACAAAGGAAGGGAACTGGGGCTTATGGTCAAAGGTGAGAAGAGGCAGGTTGGTCCCAGGGGGGTAGGAGGCGAATTGACGAGCACTTGCATGGCCCTATGTCTAGACGTGGGGTGTGTGTGTGTGTGTGTGCGTGTGTGTGTGTGTGCGTGTGTGTGTGCGTGTGCGTGCATGCATGCCATGACGCACCTGATCACTTGCTCGGGCGCCTTGGCAATGACTGCCTGAAACGACGCCCATTGCTTCTTCTCCGCATCCGCACCCTGCCATGCCAAGCCATGCCATGCCGTGCCATGCCATGCCATGGCACACGGCATCATGCCATGGCATGGCAGGCCGTGGAAGCAGCGAATTTGAGAGGGCATGCTATGAGCGACCGGCAACTCAGCTCGGCTTGCGGAGGAGCGCGGCCAGGAATGGAGGAGAGGGGCAAGGAGCGACCCAAGACAGGGCAGCAGCGACGTGGTGGCGGGACGTGGCGGAGAGGAGAGGATGTGTGTGATGTGGACTGAGAGAGGATGTGTGTGATGTGGACTGAGAGAGGATGTGTGTGATGTGGACTGAGAAAGGATGTGTGTGATGTGGACTGAGAGAGGATGTGTGTGATGTGGACTGAGAGAGGATGTGTGTGATGTGGACTGAGAGAGGATGTGTGTGATGTGGACTGAGAGAGGAGAGCGGAGGAATGGGCGGGCGGAGGGAGGGAGGCAACGGAAAGCAGGGAGGGAGAGGAGTGTGGGGGTTGGGGGAAGGAGAGGTACAGGGCGGGGGCAGAGAAAGGGATCGCAACATTATTTGTCACACCCACCCCATCCCCATGCCCCACCCGGCACCACACTCCCCATCGCCCATGGCAGCACATCACACGTCACGGCCGCACCTCTCCGAAGCCCTCCAGCTCCCGGGCTGCGATGGGCCCCTCTGCCCGCGTGCGCTCGCGGTACTCCCTCAACAGCCGCCGCACCTCGCCCCCTCCCGCCTCCCCCTTTTTCTCCCTCCCACTTTCCCCCTCACCGCCCCCCTCATCCCCCTCCTCCCCCTCCTCTCCTTCCTCCGGCTCCTCCTCCACCACCATCTCCCACTCCTTCCACCCACCCCTGTCTAACACCGACACTCTCCAATCCGCTTCTGCCACGTCAACAGCTGCAACCCCTGCTGACTCAGCGTCTGCTGTCCTGGCAGCTGACGTGTCAGTGGCAGCAGACGCGTTGGAGGGCGCGTGTGAGGGGGCAGGCGGAGTGGCAACGGCAGGTGGGGGAGTGTGGGGAGCAGAGGGAGCAGCGGAGGTGGGGGGTGGAGTGCGGGGGCATGCGGCACTGTGGCCTGCTCGCCAGTGCTCCTTCTGGGGATGCAAGGGGGGAGTGGTGGGGAGAGGTGGAGAGCAGAGGGGATAACACAACGAAAACAAAGAGGGGCGAGGAAGGAAAGGAGATGTGTCAGCAAAGGCTCTTTGTGAGCCGGTAAGAATGCCCATCGTTGAATGGAATGATCAAGACGGAAAATCCATTCCACTGCCTTGCGCGCTTCAGGCAGAGGAATGAAAATTGGGTAGAGAAGAGAGCAGGGAGTGAAGGGGTGCACGCGGGAATGGCACCTGGTGCTCCTTGCTGCAGTAGTTGACCTGCCTGCACCCGCCACACCGCTTGCTGCCCTTCCACGTGCCACACCACTCACACATGGCCACTGGGGGCGGTGGGGGGGAGGGGGGGGAGGAAAAGGGGAGGGGGGGGAGCGAGGGGACGCAGGGGCGCTGAGTGGAGAGGGGAGAGAACGAGCCAGCAGGCGCGGAGGTCGCGGTGCTGCAGGGCAGCGCGCCGCTGCTTCTCCCCCGCAGCAGCGGCTTCATGCTCCGCCCTGACGCTCGCTGCTCTGCCACCCCTCCCACTCTGGCACCTCCCCCAATCTGGCACTGACTGCCACATTTGACAGCACGGCTACTGAGTCCCCAACTGCCAGCCTGCAGCCTGTGAGTGCGCCATGGCATGGCACAGGCGAGGCGGCTGACCTTGCTTGGAGAGTGGAGCGCCGGGCGTGTCTGGGGGAGGCGGGGTGAAGGCGTAGAAGGGGTTGCTGCGAGGCAGCTGGGTGCGCAGCGCGCACACACTGTGGGCAGGCATGCAAGGATGGCACAGGGGCATGCACGCATGTATTCATGCACGCTCACACATGGACACATGAAAGCATGCGCACACATGGACACATGAAAGCATGCGCACATGCGCACACCACGCATGCATACATAGATGGATGAGAGGCACACATTCGCATGGAAGGACACCCACGGATACACGTGCATAGGTTCTCCCGCAGGTAGTGCGAGCCAGCTGACAATGCAAAGAGCGCCATCCCACACAACATGCATTGCGCCAATGACACGCTTCCAACAGCAAGAGCTACCTCACTCCCCCTCCTCCGCCCCCAACCACCCACCCCTTCCCCCCCCTATCCCCTGAAAGCCCCCCCTCACCTCCGTCTCCTCTCCCTCGCCCAGCCATCCGCACCCTCTGCCTTCCCCTCCCCCTCGTTCCCCTGCCCCTCCCTCTGCCCCTCCGCGAGCTGCGCCTGTTGCTCCTGCTGGTGGCGCGCGAGGCAGGGCTGGTGGCGGCAGGCGAAGAGGAAGAGCGTGCGGTGGAAGGCAGACGGCTCGGCGTCCAGGGGCGAGTACACCTGAAGGGGAGAGGTGGGGAGAGAGCAGACGAGATGAGAGGAAGAGAGCAGATGAGATGAGAGGGAGAGGGCAGCTGAGCTGAAAGGGAGAGGGGAGCACATAGGTGAGATGAGGGGGCGAGGGGAGAGCATAGGTGAGATGAGGATGAGGGGGGGAGGGGAGCGCACATGAGATGCGGGGACGGAGCGAGTACACGAGATGAGAGGACGAAAATCTTGGATTATGAGAGAGCATGGGGTGCCGCAATCAGCTCTTTGACTGCCTGCTGTGCCGCAAGCAGCTCTTTGACTGCCTGCTGTGCCGAAAGCAGCTCTTTGACTGCCTGCTGTGCTGCAATCAGCTCTTTGACTGCCTGCTGTGCCGCAAGCAGCTCTTTGACTGCCTGCTGTGCCGCAAGCAGCTCTTTGACTGCCTGCTGTGCCGCAATCAGCTCTTTGACTGCCTGCTGTGCCGCAAGCAGCTCTTTGACTGCCTGCTGTGCCGCATGCAGCTCTTTGACTGCCTGCTGTGCCGCAATCAGCTCTTTGACTGCCTGCTGTGCCGCAAGCAGCTCCTTGACTGCCTGCTGTGCCGAAAGCAGCTCTTTGACTGCCTGCTGTGCTGCAATCAGCTCTTTGACTGCCTGCTGTGCCGCAAGCAGCTCTTTGACTGCCTGCTGTGCCGCAATCAGCTCTTTGACTGCCTGCTGTGCCGCAAGCAGCTCTTTGACTGCCTGCTGTGCCGCATGCAGCTCTTTGACTGCCTGCTGTGCCGCAATCAGCTCTTTGACTGCCTGCTGTGCCGCAAGCAGCTCTTTGACTGCCTGCTGTGCCGAAAGCAGCTCTTTGACTGCCTGCTGTGCTGCAATCAGCTCTTTGACTGCCTGCTGTGCCGCAAGCAGCTCTTTGACTGCCTGCTGTGCCGCAAGCAGCTCTTTGACTGCCTGCTGTGCCGAAAGCAGCTCTTTGACTGCCTGCTGTGCTGCAATCAGCTCTTTGACTGCCTGCTGTGCCGCAAGCAGCTCTTTGACTGCCTGCTGTGCCGCAATCAGCTCTTTGACTGCCTGCTGTGCCGCAAGCAGCTCTTTGACTGCCTGCTGTGCCGCATGCAGCTCTTTGACTGCCTGCTGTGCCGCAATGAGCTCTTTGACTGCCTGCTGTGCCGCAATCAGCTCTTTGGCTGCCTGCTGTGCTGCAATCAGCTCTTTGACTGCCTGCTGTGCCGCAATCAGCTCCTTGACTGCCTGCTGTGCCGCAAGCAGCTCTTTGACTGCCTGCTGTGCCGCAATCAGCTCTTTGACTGCCTGCTGTGCCGCAAGCAGCTCTTTGACTGCCTGCTGTGCCGCATGCAGCTCTTTGACTGCCTGCTGTGCCGCAATCAGCTCTTTGACTGCCTGCTGTGCCGCAAGCAGCTCTTTGACTGCCTGCTGTGCCGAAAGCAGCTCTTTGACTGCCTGCTGTGCTGCAATCAGCTCTTTGACTGCCTGCTGTGCCGCAAGCAGCTCTTTGACTGCCTGCTGTGCCGAAAGCAGCTCTTTGACTGCCTGCTGTGCTGCAATCAGCTCTTTGACTGCCTGCTGTGCCGCAAGCAGCTCTTTGACTGCCTGCTGTGCCGCAATCAGCTCTTTGACTGCCTGCTGTGCCGCAATCAGCCTGCTGTGCCGCAATCAGCCTGCTGTGCTGCAATCAGCTCCTTGACTGCCTGCTGTGCCGCAAGCAGCTCTTTGACTGCCTGCTGTGCCGCAATGAGCTCTTTGACTGCCTGCTGTGCCGCAATCAGCTCTTTGGCTGCCTGCTGTGCTGCAATCAGCTCTTTGACTGCCTGCTGTGCTGCAATCAGCTCTTTGACTGCCTGCTGTGCCGCAATCAGCTCCTTGACTGCCTGCTGTGCTGCAATCAGCTCCTTGACTGCCTGCTGTGCCGCAAGCAGCTCTTTGACTGCCTGCTGTGCCGCAATCAGCTCTTTGACTGCCTGCTGTGCTGCAATCAGCTCTTTGAGTGCCTGCTGTGCCGCAATCAGCCTGCTGTGCCGCAATCAGCCTGCTGTGCTGCAATCAGCTCCTTGACTGCCTGCTGTGCCGCAAGCAGCTCTTTGACTGCCTGCTGTGCCGCAATGAGCTCTTTGACTGCCTGCTGTGCCGCAATCAGCTCTTTGGCTGCCTGCTGTGCTGCAATCAGCTCTTTGACTGCCTGCTGTGCCGCAATCAGCTCCTTGACTGCCTGCTGTGCCGCAAGCAGCTCTTTGACTGCCTGCTGTGCCGCAATGAGCTCTTTGACTGCCTGCTGTGCCGCAATCAGCTCTTTGGCTGCCTGCTGTGCTGCAAGCAGCTCTTTGACTGCCTGCTGTGCTGCAATCAGCTCTTTGACTGCCTGCTGTGCCGCAAGCAGCTCTTTGACTGCCTGCTGTGCCGCAATCAGCTCTTTGACTGCCTGCTGTGCCGCAAGCAGCTTTTTGACTGCCTGCTGTGCCGCATGCAGCTCTTTGACTGCCTGCTGTGCCGCAATCAGCTCTTTGACTGCCTGCTGTGCCGAAAGCAGCTCTTTGACTGCCTGCTGTGCTGCAATCAGCTCTTTGACTGCCTGCTGTGCCGCAAGCAGCTCGTTGACTGCCTGCTGTGCCGCAAGCAGCTCTTTGACTGCCTGCTGTGCCGCAAGCAGCTCTTTGACTGCCTGCTGTGCTGCAAGCAGCTCTTTGACTGCCTGCTGTGCTGCAATCAGCTCTTTGACTGCCTGCTGTGCCGCAAGCAGCTCTTTGACTGCCTGCTGTGCCGCAAGCAGCTCTTTGACTGCCTGCTGTGCTGCAATCAGCTCTTTGACTGCCTGCTGTGCCGCAAGCAGCTCTTTGACTGCCTGCTGTGCCGCAATCAGCTCTTTGACTGCCTGCTGTGCCGCAAGCAGCTCTTTGACTGCCTGCTGTGCCGCAAGCAGCTCTTTGACTGCCTGCTGTGCTGCAATCAGCTCTTTGACTGCCTGCTGTGCCGCAAGCAGCTCTTTGACTGCCTGCTGTGCCGCAAGCAGCTCTTTGACTGCCTGCTGTGCCGCAAGCAGCTCTTTGACTGCCTGCTGTGCTGCAATCAGCTCTTTGACTGCCTGCTGTGCCGCAAGCAGCTCTTTGACTGCCTGCTGTGCCGCAAGCAGCTCTTTGACTGCCTGCTGTGCCGCAAGCAGCTCTTTGACTGCCTGCTGTGCCGCAAGCAGCTCTTTGACTGCCTGCTGTGCCGCAAGCAGCTCTTTGACTGCCTGCTGTGCTGCAATCAGCTCTTTGACTGCCTGTTGTGCCGCAAGCAGCTCTTTGACTGCCTGCTGTGCCGCAATCAGCTCTTTGACTGCCTGCTGTGCCGCAAGCAGCTCTTTGACTGCCTGCTGTGCCGCAAGCAGCTCTTTGACTGCCTGCTGTGCTGCAATCAGCTCTTTGACTGCCTGCTGTGCCGCAAGCAGCTCTTTGACTGCCTGCTGTGCCGCAAGCAGCTCTTTGACTGCCTGCTGTGCCGCAAGCAGCTCTTTGACTGCCTGCTGTGCTGCAATCAGCTCTTTGACTGCCTGCTGTGCCGCAAGCAGCTCTTTGACTGCCTGCTGTGCCGCAAGCAGCTCTTTGACTGCCTGCTGTGCCGCAAGCAGCTCTTTGACTGCCTGCTGTGCTGCAATCAGCTCTTTGACTGCCTGCTGTGCCGCAAGCAGCTCTTTGACTGCCTGCTGTGCCGCAATGAGCTCTTTGACTGCCTGCTGTGCCGCAATCAGCTCTTTGACTGCCTGCTGTGCCGCAAGCAGCTCTTTGACTGCCTGCTGTGCTGCAATCAACTCTTTGACTGCCTGCTGTGCCGCAAGCAGCTCTTTGACTGCCTGCTGTGCCGCAAGCAGCTCTTTGACTGCCTGCTGTGCCGCAATCAGCTCTTTGACTGCCTGCTGTGCTGCAATCAAACACATTCCGCACAGTGAGAATTAACGGGTTCCAACAGGCGGGCGGGCGCAGGAATCGGACCTGCAGCAGGAATCGCAGCGGCTGCGAGCAGAAGTCGCACAGGAGCGGGTCGCACGGCAGATTGAGCGGGTCGAGATACGCCTGATGGGGAGCCACGAGGGGAAAGGAGGGGAGGCGGGGGGAGATGGGGAGAGAAGGGGGGAAGACAGGGAGAAGACTGGGGGATGACAGAAAGAGACGGGGCATGCGATGCTGCCAGCGCGCATGGCATCATGGCATCGCATTACACGAGATTGGAATTGTTGGGCAGGGACGCTGTGAGGCGAAAGTCGAGAGGCGAGAGGCGAAAGGCGAGAGGCGAGAGGCGAGAGGCGAGAGGCGAGAGGCGAGAGTCGAGAGTCGAGAGGCGAGAGGCGAGAGGCGAGCGGCGAGAGTCGAGAGTCGAGAGTCGAGCGTCGAGCGGCGAGCCACGCGCCGTGGAGCGAGCGGCTGCTGCAGCGCGGGGCGCGGGGATTCACGCCGCCGCTGATCGCGCGCTCGTGTCTGCCGTCCCGCACACGTGTCTTGGCGCCCTCGTTCCGTGAGGCTCGTCCTCTCCCCTTATCTCTCGCATTCCCTCGCTCACTCACCGGCGCGCCCCCGACTTTGCTGGGGAAGCGATGCCGCGCGAGCGACCAGTCGTGCGACGGCTTCTGCACGAACCCTAGCAGCACCACGTCGTCGCCTCCGTCGCTCACGTCGTCGTCATCGTTGTCATCCGCCGTGACGTCCTCCTCAGCGCGCTGTGCGACACCGTCGTCATCCCCACCCGCGCGGCTCTCCTCCTCCACTCTGTCGCTGTCCCTCGCTCCCCGCGCCATCGGCGCGCAGCCTGACGAATCCGCAACTGTGAGCTGCTGAGGATGCTCCTCGAACATGGCTCAGAGGAAGCGGCGTTGTCCCTGCCGCCGTGAAAGCAAGTTGCAGCGACAAGGTTGGGGGGTATTGGGGACAAGTAAGGAGGTGGAGAATATGGAAAACAGCAAACCATTATTCTGTGACGAAAACACGTTTACTAGCGAAGACAGCTAAAGCGAGTTTGGTGAGGGAAGTCGCTTGGAGGGCTAGTCAGCAGACTTCCAAGTACACTGGGGGTCCGCCGTACACCCAGCCATTGTCCAGGCCCTTCCCAACACGTCGCCCAATAGCCCCCCATTCACCTGATGGCGAACACAGCATAATGGGGGTAAGGTACGGGCAAACGAGACTGGAGTTTTCAGAAATGTTGGAGTTCTGTTTTTTATCTACTGTTCACGGTCGGCAGCACTGGCGTATGCAATGAGCATCGTTCGCATGCCATGTCGCACGCATGTCAACCATGTTTTCAACACGAAGTAAGAATAAGGGCGAGGTGTTTACATTTGCGGTTTTGATATTTTCCGTCAACTTACGGCTTTATATCACTAGAGTGACCCTACCTTCTCACCAGATCTCAACCCAGATATTCTTCCCCACTAGTCGAGGCTTCTTCGATTTCTGCACCGTGACGAGACCCGTGGATTTTAACGTGATTCTAATGGTGAAAGGGTGCACAGTCAAACATGTTATGTTACCCAAAATTTTGCGGCGGATGCGCTAGTTTTCGCCACTCTGTTCGTAATTTTACTCTACAACGGTACGACGAAGACGAACCATGAAAAGACAGGACCAATCGGCTAATGGTTTCGTCTTTTCATGAGAAGACAAACCTCAGCGTGGCTAGTCTAAATGTACAGGATGATTCCGTGGCTGACTCCTCCGAAGCTGCCACTGACATCCCCGTGCCAACCACGTCAGCTAGAACTGCGGAGTTTATTCCACTCGTTGACGCCGATCCTGAAGATTTTCGCGATGTTGAACTCGATTACGAATGTGATCGCCAACATCAGCCCATGCCCGTTGTCTCCGAAGCAGCGATACGTGTCACACTTGAAGAAGTTGTGGGGGAACAAGGGTCATAACTCAACTTCTCCGGTGTCAATTCGAATCGTCCGCGTTTTACAGAGACTGGTTTACAAGTTCTGGGTCTCGCAGTCACAGTACAGTCAAACAGCAGTAACATTTTGGAGCCGAAAACAGTCCGTCAAGCTTTGACAAGTCCTTACAGGAAAAAATGGCGCGAAGCCATGGACAGAGAGCTAGCAGCTCTGAAAAAGCGTGGCACCTGGGATCTTATCCCACTGAAGGAATTAGAAGGGAGTAAAGTTCTTACCGGAAAATGGGTCTTCCGTGTCAAGACGAACGCTAATGGCTCCTTCGAAAAAATCAAAACGCGATGGGTCGTCCGCGGCTTCGAGCAAACATTCGGACTTGACTACGAACTTACCTTTGCTCCCGTCGGCCGACACACTAGTGTCAGAATTATTCTCTGCATCGCGGCCTACCGAAATTTCCGACTTCGTCAAATCGACGTCGCCAACGCTTTTCTATATGCTCTTGTCGACGCACTAATTCTGGTCGAGTATCCACATTTTTACGAGACTAATCCTCCCAGCGTGTGCCGTCTCAGAAAATCCCTCTACGGCATCAAACAGGCACCACGACTCTGGCAGCAGTATCTATACCATTAGCTGTTAAATGCCGGATTTCGACAACTTCCATACGACCAGGGGATGTACTTACTTACCGATGGTACCGACTACATTTTACTCGTCGCCTTCGTTGACGACTTACTTTATATGAGCACTACAGATTCTCTCGCTACTATCTTCGAACAGAAACTTCAACGAAACTTACAGATTACTATCGCCTCTATAGTCACACAATTTCTCGGACTGAATATCTACCGAACTAAAATTGCTATTCATCTAACAGCTTCCAAGTATGCAGCTACGCTAGCCGCACGCTTTAATCTCACGGCTTCAACCATCAACCGGATTCTACTCCACTCGATAACGCGGAACTACAGCTTTATCAGCAGCAACTAGGTTGTCTTCTATTCGCAGATGTTACGTATCGTCCGGATCTTGCCTACGCCGCTAGCCAGCTTGCGCAATTTCTGTGTCGACTTGAGGGGGAGAATCGGCTAGATCTTCTACGTGCTCTGCAATATTTCATTTCGACACCTGCAGTCGGACTTATCTACCAAGCTACTACTACGAAAACTTTATATCTTAACGGGTACGCCGATGCTGATCATGCAGCAGATACTATTAATCGACGATCGCGAACCAGATTCATCTATCGCCTCGAGCCTATTGGAACTATCTCGTGGAATTCTACCAAGGAAGAGCTAGTAGCTCTTTCATCTGCTGAAGCCGAGTTTATAGCTGCCTACACAGCTACTCGCGAAGGTCTCTATCTGCATGAGCTACTAGAGGAGGCGAAATTGAGGACATGTACACAGTTCACCCTACAATGCGACAATCAAAGCGCAATCAGAATTGCGCATCAACCTGGTTTCGCCAATAGGACGAAACATATTTCGCTACGGTTCTTTTTCGTCAAAGATGAAGTCGAGAAGGGGAGAATGCGATTGGTCTCTTGTTCGACCAATAAAATGGCTACAGATTTTCTCACCAAGAAGCTGACACGACAGAAGTTTCAATACTGCAACGAGCTCTACGGAATTATCAAGAAGTGATACTATCGCACTTCCAGAAATGAAGGGGAGCGTTGTGATTAAGTCGTACCTAAGCATTTCTGTAAGTAGTTCCGATAGATATTGTCGAGTTACACTATAGATAGCATCCGTAAAATGACGTCAGCAAATAGCTCTCGTCTGGATGGTTACGTCAGCAAGTCGTTTCAGTCACACGAACAGTCGCGCTCTTTTCAGCAGCGGTAAGAGGGCATAGCGCAAATAGCTCGAACATGTACATTACCGAATAGGTACTTCTGGTAGATATAAAAGTAGCTTGTACAACTTCAATTATTAACTTGTTCAGTAAATTCTGGTCAACACTTTACAAGTTCTAAGACTTCCGCTGTCTTACTAATCTACCATTCCAGCAAAGATCCTTGGTTAAGTCTTGAAGTATCGTAAGGCTGTAACACAGATTCTGGTATTACAACTTATTAATACTGGCTGTTACTAGATGTACTTCCAGTATTATTTTCTACTTCAAGTACTTGTGTTTGCAGATTCTATACTTGGTCTCCGGCACCACCTTTCGAATTCTTTCACCCTCTACAGTAGGATTCAGGATTGTAGTACATCTACCAAGCCTAAACAAATATATATATATGTATATATATAATTTGATATAATCATCCAGACGAACGCTATTTGATGACGTCATTCTACGGATGCTAGTTACAGTATAACTGGACAATATCTATCGAAAATACTAACAGAAATGCTTAAGTACGATTTTATCACAACACTAAGGACACAACCCTATCTAGCCTATAACTTCTATATATAATGCATATGTATAAGTTCACATATCTTGCCTATTCATGGTTTACCTGTTAAAGTCTGAACTAGGAAGAACAGAGGAGGCCGCCATGAAATGGCAGCCAAGGGTTTAGCTAGGAGCTGGACGAGAGTGTCGAGAGAGAAGAGGTATAGACTAGAAGAGAATGAAGTACAAGAAGGGGGTTGTCCCCCCTACAGTAGGATGCAGTTAGTAGCATAACTACCAAGCCTACAATTATATAAAAATATAATTTGAACACACCCCCTAGGCTTGGTAGTGGCAAACCCACACAACCCACACACACACCCCCTAACCCCGGACACCCTCATTCTCGTGAGCAGCCGGGTATCGACCCCTCGTGCTAGGCTATGACACCCCCGGTCGAGAGGCAGCTGGCCGCATCTGGGCGGCCTCAATGACAACAGCGGCGGAGCTCGTGCTCAAGGCGGCTGTGTCGATGAGGACAGGCGGCGACTGCGGCGGCTGAGGGCTCTCGGCGGTGTGACACGGGCTGGCGACGACCGAGCCGAAGACAGCAGCTACGGCAGGAGCAGGAGGAGATGCAGGGGAGGGAGAGGTGGTGGGGCTGCTGTGGTGGGGCTGCAGGACTTCAGCGCGGCGCCATAGGCGCGGCGCTTACTGGAGGGAGGAGCAGGCGGGACGGGGCCCAGGAGGGGCGCGACTGGGCTAGGAGGCACGGCAGGGCCCAGGAGGGGCGCGACTGGGCTAGGAGGCACGGCAGGGCCCAGGAGGGGCGCGACTGGGCTAGGAGGCACGGCAGGGCCCAGGAGGGGCGCGACGGGGAGGTGGAACGGCGGAGCCGCCACGTCAGGGCGGCAAGCCCAGCACGGCTGCTCGACGTGGCAGCAATGCGACATGGCCGCCACGGCGGCACGGCAGGAGCGACGAACGCACGAGAACGCAGCGGAAAGCACGGAGGGGAGCAGGCCCAGGAAGGGCATCCCGCTCTCGATACCATGTTAAAGTCTGAACTAGGAAGAACAGAGGAGGCCGCCATGAAATGGCAGCCAAGGGTTTAGCTAGGAGCTGGACGAGAGTGTCGAGAGAGAAGAGGTATAGACTAGAAGAGAATGAAGTACAAGAAGGGGGTTGTCCCCCCTACAGTAGGATGCAGTTAGTAGCATAACTACCAAGCCTACAATTATATAAAAATATAATTTGAACATTACCATGACAAGATCTTCATCACTCTTCATGTATCCTTCCATTTCTGTTTTCCACTAAGTATTTACAAGTTTGTCATAATTGATTTGTTTGAGTAATGCTGCAGTTCATTTCCGTTTTGAGGCAACTTTTCCACATCTTTTATTTTGGTTTTACTCTTGTAGGCACACGTCTACAGTCTTGAAAGGGTTTGATGTGCCATTTCTCTCATCGTGTGCGGTGCGATGCGGTATGACGTAGCAACGACTCGTGATAACCTGGCAGGCATCATTGCCTAATCGCAACACAGGCTGACGAATGCCAAGCGCCAAGCCCTTGAATGAATAGCCCCTCATATCTGACCCAGAAAGGCACTTCGACTTGCACTCACAAATGGCAGCCGGAACAATGGCGGACAGAGACGATAACGCGTTCCGCCAGGCACTTCACAGTGATCGTACAGAAATGCTCAGGGTCGTTGAACAGATGATTGGCTACTCGACCGGGTGCTCGGCTGATACTGTGTTATGCTCGCGTGCTTGCCAGGAGATTTGTGATGCACTGAAAGACGTCCGTCCTCTTTTCTTGGTTCTCAAGCACACTAACTTCACAGTAGCACAAAGCAACAGCTTGGTGGACTCTCTTTCAGAGATGGCTAGCTCGTTGGCCGACGTGACTGTCTGCGTGGATCTGTGCCGTGATAGGTTATGGAAGCTTCACTTGATTCAGCACTCTGATTCCTTCACGTCACGGCTTCAAGACGCAACGAAGAAAACTGGAGAGGCATTATATGAATTTGTCACTACGAGGATCAAGGTGACCTGAAAGCTCAGTATACAGTCGCTGAGGCATGACTAAAGTGCACACTAACATGCTCCATGATTTTCGCAGATGGAGCCCGAGTTTCCGGTGCACTTATTTTCGGACGTTCTTACTGCAGCATCAAAAGCAGCTACGAATCTAAAGAACGTTAATGTTACCCTCGATTCGGAAGATGCTCGTCTGAAAGAAATGGTGGATACTCGATGTGAAGAAGTCGTCAATGGTGCATCAGATCATGCGTTGGACATTATTCTGCGAGGACGCCATGGTTACTGGAGAAGTATACAAAGCATGAGCCAGCTCTCCCTTAATGGTGCAAGCAATGTTCAGCACACATCAACTCGCGGTCGTGAAGGGACATCTTCTGGCAGGTGAGTAAAAATATTATGGGATTTTCTCATCATCTTGACTTGCTGACCGATTACAATATCGCAGGCTGACAAACGACAGAGAGATGCGCCTGGAGGCAACACGGACAATGCTCGAATCTATACGGACGACACAAGATAACAGCAACAGCTTTGCTCCATCCGTTCTCAGCCCTCGCTCGTTTGCAGAAGTAGCATCGCCTACTGGAACTGCTGAACCTAGCGCATTGCCAGAGACATCTGGTAAGTTTTGGGCGGCGCAAGGGTTCCAAGGAAGAAAAGCTTAACCCTAATACTTCGGTTCTGTTCAGATTCCGCCAACAATAGCTCCAAGGCCCTGGACGATCCTTCAGCTGAAACGTTGGGGAAAAACACCGTTAGTTATGGCACACCAGATCGGCCTTTTGGCACAAGAAGGTAAGAACTAATCATTTTGTTTTACCCGATTCATGCTGACAAGCGGCTATTGATGTTTCTGTAGGAGAAGGTCGAGCATGAACGATGAACCTCCGCCCGAATTCCTCTGTCCTATCACCTGCGAGCTGATGGCTGATCCAGTCATGGTTGTCACTGGACAAACTTATGAGAGGAGCTCCATCAGACAGTGGATAAGTGAAGGCCATCGCACATGCCCTATTACTAGTGAGTAATAATCACATTCATTTGATTTTTAGTCTGCAATTATGGGGCGTTGATCTCATTGTGCTTTCTTTCTACTTGCGATGATGCCAGGGATGCCTCTTGGGAACATTGAGTTGGTGCCTAACTATGCATTGCGAAACGCCATTCGAGCTTGGGCACAAAGGCGCGGCATTGAGCTGAAGGAGCCTGAATTCTTCCCGCCTCCTCGTTTAAGCGGCGCTCAATATAAGACTGCTAATAATGCCTCGGCGCCATCCCAGATTCCGACGTGGGACAATGCTTTGCCAGATAGGAGGAGCCCCCCCATGCTGGCAGTTGTGCAGCTGTTTGTTGGTTCACCTGCTGACAAGGTAAGTCATGTCATGTTGTGCTGAAGGGCTACAGCTTAAAGTCCAGTGGCTCACTGTTGTCAGGTTACTTTGACAGGACGCAGCTGTGGCTCAGCTCGCAACAACCGCAAGTGAAGATGGGGAAAATGGGAGGGTTTCGGTTGTACAGGCTGGTGCAATTCCGCCCCTCATCATGGCTCTGCTTGAAGGTTCTGATTTTGCGAAAGAGACGGCAGCGAGATGTATCCGCTTCCTTTCCAGGAGCAACAATCCGATAATTACACAGGGTTGTGCAGCAGCTATCCCAGCTCTAGTCCGCCTGCTCTCCGTGGTAAGTGTGAGCCTGTTGGCACGCATGGCCACTGGTTCATGGTACTCAGCAACTCTTTTCCCTGCAGGGGTCTCAAGCTGCAAAGGAGGCTGCATGTGGTGCTCTCGTCAACCTCTCAGCTAAGACTGATGTCAACAAGTTCCAGATTGCAGTTGCTGGAGGAATACCTCCGCTAGTCTTGCTCCTTGACTTCAACCAGCCTAACGCCTCAAGAACCTCATATGAGTGCGCATCAGCAGCACTTTGCAATCTTGCATTTGACAATGAAAACAGGCTGAAGATTGCTGCAGCCGGTGCAATTCCTCTTCTTGTCCAGGTATGATTCACGGTTTGTTTCATTGTTACTGTACAGATACCACTGAAGGTTTGTTCATGCAGGTTGCTGCAAGGTCCCCAACTCCAGAAGCTGGAGAATATGCCACTCACGCCCTTGGAAGTTTGGCGTGTGAAATTAATGAAAACGGGGAGACGATTGTTCAGGTAATTTCATTGTTTTCACATTGGCTATGATGTTCTGGGGCAATTGCTGAAGTTTCTTGTTGCAGGCTGGAGCTGTGCCAGTGCTGCTTGCAGCACTTCAGAACGGTTCCCCTTGGTGCAAAGAAGCAGCTGCAAGGACCCTTCGTAACTTATCGTTCTTTGAGAACCTGCGAGAACCATTGCTTACAGCCGGCGCGATCGATGTTCTGACCCGAGTGACAGAGTCAGGAACAGCCAGAGCTGCAGAGTCTGCCAGAGCTGCACTGAACCATCTGAGTAGAACGACAAGGTCCACCCAATCTTCCAGTGGAACACAGGAGCCTCGCCAAGCAGCCACTGGAACAACAAGGACAGCAGTACCTCCGGTTACATCTGGCGCGGTCACAACAAACCCAGCCAATGCCACCAATCGATTCCAAGTTGCACCACGTCGAGTTGAATCAAGTCGCCTATTTGGCAGATCAAATGCTGCAAGAGTGCACCCGGAACCTTCCAGTGAGGGCTCTGATGCATCTGGGCAAGGTGGCAGCAGTTCTAGAGGGGCAACCCGGGTGTTGACGCGGCCCACTGCTAGCAGAGACAGTTCTCGGTCCCGAAGTTGAAATTTTCTAGCTACTCCAAAGAACAGTTGAGGGATTTTTGCCCAAGGGTGGTGTGTTTTTGCTGCTGTCTGTACTGTTTGCTTAGGTTGGCATGGCATCTGTAGTCTTCCATTCTTCCGTGCTTGCCCTCGTTCTCTAACCGTAATCACCTGTATATAACACCCCCCGAAATAGTCACTCCATGGGTGGCTCATGCAGGGGATAGCTTATGATATGGTACATTTCTAGAGTACCCACTTTTTTGGGTTTGCATGTTACATAACACCCTGTTCTAAAAACTTGCCTTTAAACAGTATTTGGTCCTTCATTACCAAGGTCTGCTCAGCTGCGAAGAGTATAGTAGTCTCAGGGTTAGAAAATTGACTAGAATGAGAGACACAAGGTGCTTTTTATCAAAGTGAGAACTGAATGATTGAGTAGAGAGAGAGTACAGGTGAATATACCTAAGTATTGTACCCTCTAAGAGGTGGCCCTATACAGTCTATGCAAATGTTGGAAATATCTCAAAGACTTAAGCGTTTCTGAAGTGTAAACACTACACTCGAGGAAAGTCATAACGGGTACGCGAGTCAACGGAGGTTACACGAAGGGGCGGACAAAGAACACGAATGGACACGAAGAGTCGCAACCGGAGGTTGCGACTGACCGTTACAACTGCAAGGATGGTAACAGAACTGTCAATCGAGTCGCTGTGCGACTCGAGAAACAGCTCCTTTAACTGTATTCTACAACTGCTTTACTTTCCTGCTTTCTATATATTGCTGTATGCTTGTTTCTTTTAATCAATCACTTGTTCTCATATACTAGTACAAGGGTTCAGCTACTCAACTTCCGCTGCACTACTCAAGTCTCATTCTTCAACTGGGACTTAGTCTCTGGAAAGACCCTAAGGGCTTTTCTCAGCCCAACATGGTATGAGAGCTGGTCAGAGACCAAACTCCCAGCAACTACGTTCTATCTGCAATCAGCACATCAACGACTCCATTGATTACAAGTCATGGACAGCAAAGGCAAGAAAATCTCTACGGGCTCACCCAGCGCCCAAGACACTCAAACCGGCAACTCTGGATTGCACACTTCAGGACTGCAAACCGAGACCGGCGCTGCTCAAGAAACAACAGGAAGAGCACCGGAAATGGTGACCCCATCACCCTCTTCAAGCGTGGACCCAAACCTTATGGAAAGGTTCTTCAGCTTCATGTCGCACTTCGACCAGCAGCAGCAGACAAGGACACCTGCGCATTCAACATAGAGCAACAGAGGAAACATGGGATTAGCGCTGATGAGCCTCGACAACTCATCGTTCGGGCGACACAATCAAGCGCCTACCTTTGCGCCTTATCACTCTTCACCGGGGACGTTCGAGTTCATGCCGCCCCGTGCCCAACCAACAGCAGCTGCATCACAACAGATACCAAATGAGATTTTAAATCTCCAAGCGCAGTTTTCGCACGTGATCAAACTGCAGACATCCTCACCGTTTAACGGACACGACTTTTTTACCTGGAGCTTTGAGTTCGAGCTGCTGATGGAGGCTGCGCATCTCTTGGGATACTTCAACGGGTCCCTCCCATTCCCAAGCAACGGCACTACAAAAGAGCAAGAAATCTTTACGCATCAATCGTTGCTGGCGTACACAGTTCTCCTGCAGAACCTGTCACCACAAGAACAGCAAAGCATCAGAACATATCGGAGCTATGGAAACTCCGCGGAACTCGCATGGTATCACCTCAAGTGTCTCTATCAAGCAAACGACAGCGTGACACAGAGCAGACTCATGCAGCAGCTGACAACAATATAGATGAAGACCGGGGAAAAGGCGATGCGGTATATGAGCCGATGCCAAACACTCCGCGACCGCCTGCTTCGGTGCGGAGGAACAATCACTGAAGAAAGCTTCGTGACGCTTGTCCTCGCCGGGCTCAGGCCAGAATGGAGAACCACCCGCTCGCTCCTTCGCGCCCACGGACGAATCTCGGAGATGCACCTCTGCGCCGAGCTCCATGCTGAACAACAGGAGATGGACCTGTTCGAAGAAAGGCAACCAAGGAAACAGCAACCATTAGTCTTCTACACTCAACGAAGGAACGACAACAACTACAACCGACGCGGCAAACAAGATCAACGTGACAACAGAGGACTCACCATTGTGCCGCCGTTCTGCCATAACTGCCAAACATCCGGACACTCCAAAGTCCACTGCACACGTCCCCGAACTTATAGTCCAGTAGACCCACAAGTCGCTCCCACTCAAGAAAGCCCGCCGAGGCGCTCCTCCACATCTGCCCAAGATACACCAAACATCATCAACTGCATGGTACACATTGACAACTGCGCACCCGGATCACCACCCACTTACGCGCCAGATGAAGAAGAACTATCGCCGCCGCGCTCACAAGGACTTCAGGTCAACCCGACATACGCTGCGGTTGCCAACGCCGAACCCACCGGGCGAAACACCTGGTTCTTGGACAGCTGCTGTGGTCAACACATGTGTTCTTCCGGACGCTTCGTGCAACGAGAGCGACGCCTCAACCGTGACGTCATCATCACCGTCGCCAACAACGAGAGCCTGAAAACAAACAGACAAAGAGTGGTTCAGTTACAGTCCATGGAAACAAATGTCATCCTGCAACTCAACAAGGTTCTAATCGTCAACAACTTGGGATACAATCTGCTAAGCGTCAACCAGCTAATGGCAAAAGGGATTCACCTGGAGTGCGACTCGGACTCCAACGAGTTTCACCTTTACCACGGGAAGGGCGGCCTCTTCATCGGTCGTGCTCTCCTGAAGTCCGGCGTCTTCGTGTTGGACTTCGTCCCCGACCGCGGTACTACCGCCAACGATGTCATCGTGTCGTTCGCAGCCTGGACGCACCCGCCGGATCTTGACCCCGACTTCAAACCAGATGGATTCTGGTACTCCAACACCATACCTGCAGCAGAGAGAACACGAGCGTTAGCGGTCATCAGACAAGAAAGACAAGTACCAGCAAGCGTCCCTTCCCAACCATCACCTGCAGTAGCAGCAGCAGGACCCAGCCGAGTACCACCACCAACGATCCGAGGACCACCAACCGAAGCAGATCAACTTATGCCCATCACACGAGAAGTCTGCCGAAGTCCCGCCACGGTCGTCGCGTTGTTCTCCAACACCGACATATACCAACGCTCGCCTGGTCATCGCGCCTCCGACGACATCTGGCACCAACGCCTTGGGCATCCTGCAAACAGCACGGTACTACAAACCATCCAAGCCGAAGTGTTAGAACGGAACGCTCTTCTTACAACGAGCGGCCAAGAACTTCGACGACCTCGCGCACGGTGCTTCACGTGCCCCGAAGCAGATCTTCCCCATCAACCTTTCGCATCACATCACAATCCAAGTGCACCTGCATATGCACCGATGGAAAAGGTTTACAGCGATATCTTAAACATGCCTCGAGATGACACGGAAGCCGACTTCAACTACGTCATCACGTTTATCGATGCAGCAACAAGATATGTTTGGCACTACAACCTCAAGACACGAGATCAAGCCTTCGAAGCCTTCACGACATGGCTCTCAATCGCTGAACGAGAATCAGGGACTAAGCTCAAGAGCTTCCAGTCCGACGGTGCACTGGAATACCAGTCACAACGATTCAGGACCTATTTGGCGGAAAGAGGAATCAGACGCCAGGTGTCTCCACCCTACGCTCACCAGCAACAGGGGGTCGCAGAAAGAATGAACCGGACCTTGCAGACGACGATGCGGAAGCTGCTCCTGGGGATGAGACTGCCCAACGCACTGTGGCCAGACGCGATGACCCATGCAGTCCACCTGCACAATTTGCTATCCTCGTCATCGCTTCCCAACAACGCATCACCGCACCTGCTGTGGACACAAAAAGGGGCAGCACAAAATTACTTCGGGTTTTCGGCTGCATGGTACAGTACAGACCCCACACAGCCAGAGCAGGACGCTTCACTCAACGAGCACGATGGGGACTACACCTCAGCATCGCAAAACATTTTCAAGCATGGAAAATCCTCGACATACAAGACAAAAATACCGTGGCATCACGTGGTGTGATCTTCTACGAACGACTGACGCTGCAGCATTACCTGGACAACGTCGCCAACACAGACGACCCCACCGACGGTGTCGCAGGCCTTCGCTCCTTCGCTGACCGTGCTGCCGAGGCTGACGCAGCAGAAGAAGACGTACCCGGAGCTTCGGAAGCTGCCGGACCACTCCCTTACTGCTCCGTACCAGTTCCACTCGACGCATACAATCCTCTCGATAGCAATAACCTCGACACCCTTTACCACTTCGCTGACCAAGGTTACGTTACCCCTTACCCGGTCGACACGAATGTCTCAGAACGCATCGGCCCAAACTTATTACCTGATCCAGAAGATGGTGACGAAGCAGCCTATTCCGGGAATGAAAATTCCCCTCGACACACACCCACGGGACTGCAAATCCTCGGCTTATGGGTCTCCGTTCAGCATCCGCCGCCGCCATCTCCGCGCGAGCCCACGACTCTGTCACAGGCTCTGGGGGGGGAACATAAGGCGAAATGGAAGGAGGCGATGGAAGAGGAACTAAAAGCTCTGCAAGACCGAAATACATGGAAGCTAGTACCTGCAACGAACATCAACGGGAAGAACGTCCTCTCGGGAAAGTGGGTGTACCGCATCAAGACCAATGCGGACGGCTCCATCGAACGATTCAAGGCTCGATGGGTCGTACGAGGCTTCAATAAACGATACGGAACCGACTACACAGAAACATTCGCCCCAGTCTCTCGTCACACCTCCATGCACATCCTACTCGCCGTCGCGGCCACGAAGAAACTACCACTGCGCCAAATCGACGTCGCAAATGCTTTCCTGTACGCACCTGTAGACGCCGAGATCTTCATCGAGCAGCCCCACGGATTCATCGACGACCCCACAAAAGTATGCCAGCTGATAAAATCCCTTTACGGGATCAAGCAAGCCCCGCGGCTCTGGCAGTAGCACCTTCACGGTCGCCTCGTCAGAATCGGATTCCTACAACTACCGCACGACCAAGGCATGTACCGACTACAGAAGGAAACGGAATTTATCCTACTCATCGTCTACGTCGACGACCTGCTCTACATCGGCTCCACTACTTACATCGCCACCTTGTTCGAAGGGGAGCTGAAAAGGGGCTTGACACTCACGGTGTCAGACACCGTAACCCAGTACCTGGGTGTGAACGTAGTCGAAGACAAATCGGCGTTCTACCTATACGCTGGAAAGTACGCAGGCGTTGTCGCAAAGA